TTTCTAAGAGTTCTTCTCGGTGGATTTGCATTTGGATTTTGATTTGGATTTGGATTTAGATTCAGATTTGCTCCGTCTTCTGTCATATCTTTTATAATTGGGTCTGGTAAATCAAGTATGAAAGAAGAATTAGCAGATTCTCTTGTGGCTTGTTCTTGAATTTTCCTTCTTCTTCTACCCTAGTTCCTCCAAGCTGTTTTTTTAATCTCTTGATTAAATTCTAACCGATATGAAGATAGTTGTCCTCTTAAACGCATAAATCAAAAGAGTAACTCAAGCAAATATTAACACAACTAAAAACTAAATAATAATAATAATAATAATAATAAAAAACAAAAACAGGAATAAAAATAAAATACTCAATAAGCTAAACAAAGAATTCTCAAAGAACACGGTTCCCGACAACGGTGCCAAAAATACTTGTTGAATTATTGGCAAGCGTACCAAAATTATCAATCGCAGTATAGTATTTCGATAAAATAAAAGTCGATCCCACGAGGAACAGTTTCAATGAAAATTCCCAATTATGCTTACTAAATATATTAAACAGATTGGTTTTTGCAAATAAGAGTTGAGTTGAATTTAAATGACAAAGAACTATAAATTGTTGAGAAAATATCAATTAAAAGTACTTAGGATTGACTTCCTTCCTTATCCCTCTTTTGTAATAGCTATGTCAATTAAGAACGTCAATTAACCTAACAATGTTGATGTCACCTACTCAAATCATCCATGTTGATTCTTCACACATTAAATTCATAAGAAAACCTAATAAATGTTTATTCCTCACACAATTAATAGATTTTCCAGCATTAGGGTTGGAGTGTTTAAACAATTGATACATTCATTCAATTCCTGACAATTAACGTAACAAATATTCTTACCGTAATCTAGGGTTCAAGATATATTTTCCAATCATACCTCAAACAATCAAGAATAAATCATTCCAAAGCATAAAGAATAAGAATAACAACATCAAAGCATAGATTAATATCTCAAAATATCACAATGATACAAAAGAGTTCAAAGGAAGTGCACCGAATCCTAAGAGAATGAAGTTAGCCACTCATGTTGGCCATTACAATGCTCTAATTGATGAATAAGTGAAGAATTGATGAAGATTAGACAAAACCCTAATAGTAGTCGTACCTTCTCTCCTCCAAGACTGCTTGTTTTTCTCAAAACACAACTTATCTTTTTATAAGAGAATTTGGGCCGGACTTCGCATCATTCATTCACTTAAGCGCTCTTTTTTCTTTCAATTTTACTCCAATTATGCTGACAATTATAATTCTTACCCTTGTATCAAGGTATTCTCGAATTCATCATATATTGGGAGAAAAATATATTAGAATTACCATAAGTTAAGTGGTTTCATAACAATTCAAGACATAATTATATCAACTTTTTACCACTTAACAATGTATTGCCTAACAGTTATCTTCTATCAAATATTTCATTTGAGAAAAATATTTTCGATTTCTCACTTGAATGAAAAGGCTTAAGAGAAAAACCCTCACCCTTTGTCAAAGTTTTGCTTGAACGACAAGATATCATTTACGTGGAGATAATATAAGGTCTAGAGAGGTTCTAAAAGAGTTACTAGACACCTAAACTCATCCATAATATTACTACTAAGATTTTCATCCAAAATCAGTTGTAATTGGACTAACCAAGGTGTTTTTCTTTATTATATAGAGCACATGCATAAACCATTTTCCAACACAAATTCACTTTTACATTAACAACACTTGAACTTTCATCTAAATCCCTAATTTTTTTGAAAATACATCCTTCAATTACAAATTGTACAAATAAAACATTATAACCTAGTTACATTCATATATATATATATATATATATATATATATATATATATATATATATATATATATATATAAAGAGAATTTACCCCAAGGTACTAAAAACTTAAAAACTCGCTTCTTACTTTGTCTACTTTTTTTTTCCAATTTCCAAGTGCTTAAAGTTCCAAAAATCCTAATTAGGAAGTTCATTTTTTTATAGAAAACTTTATTAAATAAATTGAACATACTATTATCGTTATAAATTAGTCAAAATTCATCTACGATTGGACCAACATGCAATATCTTATCCTACGTGCAAAATACTTTAGATGGGTAAAAAAACTTATTATATGAAAACTAAAAGTGTTCTACTGTTTGTCAAGAAACTGAGATGACCTCTTAGTATCTACAAAAAGTGACAAAATGTTGAGAAAATATATTAAAAAAAGAAAAAAATTTAGTTTTAGAGGGACATTGATTTTAAGTAAATTTGAAAAGTTCTATTATTTTTATAACTTTTTTAACTTAATAAAATATCAAATCTCAATCACTAGATAACTTATACTCTTATACTTAAGTTAAATTGATCCTTACAATGAGTTTTAACAATTGTTTTACAATTTAAACGAATCAACAATTCACAATTAACCTTTTAACTAAACTAAAGTTATTAAAGAAAATTGAAATTTTATAAATTTATAAAATAATTTAATTTTTAATAATTATATAATTTTAGATTTAAATAAGAATTTAAAATTTTATATTTTTTCTTATATTTATGTATTTTTTTTATATATTCTCTTATTTATTAGGAGACGTCTAAAATATCATACACTTGTCTTCAACCGAAACATTGTTGATTTCGTTTTCTGAAAACTAAAAAAATAAAATTAATTAATACCTGTTTTGTTCAAAATCTATTATTAAAAATTCTTTATATATATATATATATATATATATATATATATATATATTCTATTAATTTAAAATATTCAATAAGATTAGCCTTCTACTTGACATCCCATAAGAACTCCCTTCTCATATCCTTCAAATCTTTTCCACTACCTTGATTAAAAAGGTTAAAAAAGGAAAAAGAAAAAGAAAAGGAAAAAAGACAACCTAGAGAACATGACTTGTCCATCTTGAAAATTTCTTCATACAAGAAGAAATAATGAAAAACTTATTTAGGTTGTGATCTTCCTATAATATTATAAGACATTTTTTTTATATAGATAATTTTACGAAAAATATTCATGGTGTTGAAGACATTTTCTATATCTACATAACCACTTAGAATAAACTTTAATTAACAGAAAAACATTTTGTAACAAATGTAATCAATTACCTAATTATGTAACCGATTACATAGTTTATCTCAACTTATGTCATCATTTATCTCAACATATACTAGATTAAAGCAATAAAGAGCTAAAGAACATCGTAATTCTGCTAATACACTTTGTAATAAATTACAACTTGATTGTAATCAATAACAATATTGATCATTGTAATTCTGATTAAAAACTCATTTTGTAAGTTGTTACGAATTTAATATAATTTATTATTTTAGAGGTTTCAATTTTCATATAAATACCAAGTTTATTTTAAGTAATTGATTAACTCAAGTTGTGATTACAATAGAGAGTTTATTTTTCAAAATGTTTTAAATAAATTATCTTGAAATGTAATCAATATAACAAGTAGTTTTCTTTTTCTTTAGAATGGCAATTTTTTTAATGCAATTAGTGACATTCATCTTATAACAAATTATATTCCTTAAACCTTCACTAGCCAAATTTCTTATAAATAAAAATTGTTCTTTTAAAATATTTCTTACTTTTTTTGTATTCAATAACTCTTTCACTAAGTTTTTTTTCCTTGGTTTCTAAGAGTGTTTTTATCACTTATTAGCAAATTTCTCAAGATTTTTAAGAACGTTATCTGATAAGAATTGTTTATAAAGATACTTAAAACAAATTAAAGTTTTTTATTTAAGTAAATTCTAAATGTGGACTCACGTTAAATTAATATATTTTATTTTTAAGAATTCTCTAGACACTACCACTAATCTATTTATTACAAACTTGAAGTTTAGCATTAAGAGAAGTTAAACCTATTTTCAAGATTTAGCTTTTATATTAACATTTTTTTTCTAGATTTCGCTTTTGATAAAAAGTTTTCACTCTTTTAGCTTGTTATTTTTTCTAAAGGGTCTCAAGTTTAAAATGGTAAAAATGTGTTAGCTATAATAACTAGTCTGTGAGTCCGCTTCCTTACTTTAAAAAGAATATATTTATATATTAAAATTTAAATAATAAATTATAATTAAAAATATTATTTTTTTATGTTATATTGTTAAAATATATAAATATATTATAATATTATAATTTCAATTAAAAATGTTAATTAATTAAATTTAAATTATTATTATAAATTGATATTTTAACATATAAATATTATAATTTTTTTAATATATCTAATGCAAATATTAATTAATAAATAAAAATATAAAAATGATTCATATAATTAAAAATATGTTTTTTAAAAATACATATAAAAAAATTTATTGAAAAACTGAGATTTTTAACCGAAACGGCAAAACGAGACAGAAAGATCGATTTTGTTATCTCTACCTAAATCACCATCTTCAACTATGCTCCCATCGTATCGGGCTTCGGTTTTTTAAGATTTCCATGACAATTTCAATATAAAAAAAAACTTGTTAAAATTAATATTGATTCACATTTATAATTTAAACTTTTACTATTGTCATTGCACTAAAAAAAATCAATGTCTCAGCCAAGCTTGTGAACGTGCGATTATACCCTACCACTCCGTGGGAAAAAGGAATAGCTGCAGAGTATGGCAAAGGTTCTGCTCCAATCATCAACAACAGCTTAAAATGTATGTACTAAAAGTTGTCTTTATAGTTAGAAAGCAAGGTTGCATCCAAAAGTGCTTACAATTTGATCATAATGGTTTGTAAGCATGTGTGATGATGGTGTTGTTGAGAAAAAAAAAAGATCCTTTGCCTCATCAAGAGGCTGCTTGCAGAGAACATTTTACCTTGCTTATCTCTTTCTTTTCAGCTTTATAAATGTTGTGGACTTCCCTCTGTTCATATTCATTCATATCACAATCAAACCTGGAGATTAAGGAAAAGTTTCAAACTAGCTTCATAAAAAGTTTCAAATAATGGATTATAGGCTCAAGCAAAGAAGGTACGTGCTGTCCAAGCAGTAACTTTTGATGCCATTGATAATTATTTGTCTTTTTTCAGATTTTCTTTGTAATCACTTAATTTTAATTAATAGTAAAAGCTATTGATATTTTATTGTAGAGCGTCATTTTCTGATCCACAATCACAGAAACACGTCGCGGACGATGAGCATGTAGCTGCAGTTGCAGCTGCTGCATTTTCCATTCATTCACTGGAAGAAGTGGGGTTACGTAATTTGCAGAAGATGGAAGAGAGTCCCAAATTTCCAAAGTCCAAAACTGTGAGAGGAAAAGAAGGGGAAATACCTAAACCACCAAGTCATGGTAATTAGAATTTTTCCATATAGCATATATATGCTCTAGTAATCCTTGAAAAAAATGAATATTATTACCATTACATGTACTACCAGGAGAAATTTCAAAGAAAAGGTCATTTGGACAAGAACTGGCTAGGTCAAGAGAAGGTGTTTTCCTTGCTAAACGTCCAAGTGGGGTATCCTCTCCAACTCCAAAGCCTATATCCCCAGCAGCAGAGTATCAAAATCATAAAGTGAATCCAATAATAGAACGCAAAAATGACAAGGCAATTGCATGGGAAAAGGCTAAGATAGAAAAGATTCAAAAGAGGTAATATTAATTTCTAGAAATAGCTTTTTATTTCTTTCTGCTTACTTCACACTGACATGACCAAGACCAATGTGCCGTTATGTAATGGATTTAGTTCATTATTGTGATTGTAAGAAGTTCAGGTATGAGAAGATGAAGTCCAGAATTCTTGCTTGGGAGAATGAGAGAAAAATGCAGGCCAAAATGCAAATGGAAAGGAAGAAGGTTTGCGGTTCAACTCATGGAGTTCTATTTACTTTTTTATTTAGTATTTTTGAACATAATATTGTTGGTGGAACTACAGAGTGAATGGGAGCACAAAAAGGCAACAGAAACTCAATATTACAAGAACAAAGTAGCAAGGATAGATATGATAGCAAAAGGTGCACTAGCACAGTTGGAAGACCACAAAAGAAAAAAAGTGTCGAAAGCCAGAGAAAAAGCAAAGAAAATCAGAAAAACAGGAAGAGTCTCTGTCAAATGTTTCTGCTTCAAGTCTTTATAGGATCCTACAAATCATGGAGTCAGACCCCAAGAATCTGACCCTGGGGAACAAAACAGCTAGGAAAACATCATGTTTGTTCAGAATCTTTCTTTGATAACTTGGCTTGAGAAATCTAATGAAAACACATATGAGAAGTTAATTGTATATATACATATGGATGCTGCTCAACAAAATATCCCTACTTTATCTTCTTTTTATTTCCTTAGAAAAAATTTACTTGAAAATGTGTTAGAAAAATTGGCGAATAAAGTCAGGTGAAATTAGTGAATAAAATATCCTTACTTTTTTTATATATGTTTGGAATAATTGTGGGCTAGATTTTATGTAATATGTAGTTTATAATGAATTATTTTAGAATATTTAAAATTTTTGTCTTGAATTATTATTATTATTGACAGTTTGATCTAAATTGTTTTCTTCCTCATTTTTAAACAACACTTTAATCGTCACATCTTGTCATAATTATTTCATTTGTTGTCATTACATTTAAAATATGTTTATTTTTTATTTGTTATCTTTTTCTAGTTTGATCTAGTAATTGAAAGGAATGGTCATAAACACATAACAAATAGAAAATATTGAGAACATTTTAAAATATTATGTGCAACTTCTTGTTTTCACCAAATTAATGAGTAATTCCTTATCCAACAGTGATACAAAAGGACTCACTATATGAATAAAAGCATGATTATTGTTACAAGTAATATAATTTTTGAAAATAAAACTCCTATATATATTCACATGAAATTTAATTAAAATTATAAGCATTAATTCACAATATTAAAAGTATTTTTGAGGTTCCATAGGAATTTTATATCCCATATATATGGTTGACCAATGCCAACCACATAATCAATTAGTGTTTTTTTTTTTTTTTTTTTTTAAGTTTCATTTGTATGTATTCATGTTTTTATATGTAACCTAGATTTATCATGCATAAAATAAAATGTGACTTTAATTTGTAATTTCATTTTATATTTAACATTTTTATTATATATATATTTTAAATTTGTACATGAAACATAATTTTGTAATTAATTATTTAAATAATTTTAAAATACTTTTTTATACTATTAATATTTCAAAAAATAAATATTTCATATATTACTATTTACGTTTTAATTTATATTTTTATAAATCTTGAAAGAAGGATATTTTAGTAATTCAGTCAATTATTTAATTATAATAATTTTTTTATTCTTTTAAACCAATTATAAGCTTTCTACTAATTTTTTTCTCTTCCATAATCAAACCAATGTGAAGTACATAATTTTTGTTAATTTACTAATTTTTATAAGTAGAGGCATTTGAACACACGGTTTATTCCTCTTTCCCTTCAATTTTATCACCAAACCAATCTTATAAACTACTTCTAAGAGTTATTCACGATAACACAAGTATATTGTATTTTGTGCACAAACTAGTGATAACTTGGACACTCTAGGAACTCCATGACATTGAACTTAGCGTGGTACCATTCTTCAATTTCATAATCTCAAATCCCACATCGATTATCCTTTATTCCTATTCCCCGGCAGAGCGTGACCCTACGCGCCAGAGTTGGCACGTGCTTATTTCAAAACTTAAAACTGCGCCCTCGCTTCAAATCAAATCAAATCTCATTCACTCTACTGGATGCTCAGTACTGGTAAATGGAACTCACCGAAGAACAACAACGTCAAGTGGAAGCGAACCGTGCAGCGGCGATTGCAAAACGCAAAGCGTTCTTAGAATCCAGGGCACAACAGGAAGGAGAACAACCTCACCGTGAAGGAGAAAATACCTCCAACCCCAACCCTTGGCACCTTTTCAAATGCCAAAAGTTCCCTAAACCCCAACCCGCAAAGTTCCTTGCCAGGCTCGAAATATGCTCCCCCGATTCCTTCTCCATCATACCTCTCCCTCTCCCTTCATTCCCCTTCCCCGGTGACCAGCATTGCCTCTCCACCCTAAACTCCGTTCTCTCACACGTACTTGACTTCTCTCATTCTCATTTTTAAAGAACAGAAAACTCTTCCGCTTTCATTTACCCTAATTTCACTATTCGTTTCTCAGGTGATGCCTTCGCATTTCACGCAGACCAGCGGAGGGGTCAAGGCCTGCGTGTTCAAACTGACGGAGTACCACGCCGTGCTCAGGCAGTTAAAGGCCGCGGCGGAGGCGCTGCACGTGGAGGAGATCCCCTGGGTGACTTTCAACGTGGTGGAGCGTCTCTCGCATTCTGTCGCGGTTGGTCTGTGGACGCCTGTGCGGCCGGAGCACTTGGTCGACGAGGAGGTGGAACGCCTGATCGCGAAGCTCCCGAGGACTCTCTTGGATGTGTTGCTTCCTTTCCAGCACGACGGACTGCGGTTTGCGTTAAGAAGAGGCGCGCGGTGCCTCATTGCTGATGACATGGGCCTTGGGAAAACGCTCCAGGTAACAGTCGTTGTTGTGATGATTTGTGTTTTTTGAATTGTGTATACGTGATTATAAATTTCTAATGTTATTGTATTATTGGTGGTTTTTGTTTTGTATTAGGCTATTGCTATTGCAGGGTGTTTTTTGGATGAAGGGTCTATACTCGTGGTTTGTCCTGCTGTGTTGCGGTTTTCATGGGCGGAGGAATTGGAGCGCTGGCTTCCTTTCTGCTTGCCGGCTGATATACATCTTGGTAATGTTTTGCTTTCTAAGATGAGTTGTGGTATTTGCTAATGATCAATGGTGGGGTTGATCACAATTGACAAGTGAAACTATGAAAGTGTTCTTGAAAAGAATGTAGAGTGTTTGTGACGACAGTACAGTTCATGTGTTTGAAAATTATGTTAATGGAAGTGTGGTGTTGAGCCTTTCCTAGGATGCATAGATGATTGTACTGAGGATGGTTTGGCATTGGGAGATTTGAAGAGTAAAAGTACAAGATGGTTTTGGATATGGCACCTGTACTAGAAGGAAAGATTGGTTAAGTGAATAAACCATGTTCTAAACACGTCTTGAGAACCCTACTGTGAAAATAACTGTGTGTCGATGGGTGTTTTGTTGATTGGGTGGCTAGTTAAGAATGGTTTGTAGTTAGGATGATGAGTTGACGATCAAGTTTGAGCTTTTTGGGTGCTGGCAAGTGGCTACATTAACTACTTGGAATATTTGGAGCTCACCTGACTTCATCATTTGATTCAGGAATGATGATAAAGGTTTTAGAAGAACGTTTGGTGTTATTTGGTCGTGGAAATAAGTCCAACTGTTCAGTGCTTTACAACTTGGTGTGATTGCCTTGTGCATTGAAGACCACAATTCTGCTGAAACTTAAATGAAGCATGGGTTGCATTATTAAGTCACCAATTAACCAAGCTTATTGCAGAAAGAAAGGGAAAGGGAAAGGGAATGGGAATCAGTCCCTTATGTGGTCAGTGCATTCATCGTGACCACTGAAAGCAATGCGTAAACGCACAGCTACCTGTACACATGGTATGGGGCATGGGAAGGGGAATGCACATAGGTGTATTCAGTTGATTGGAAGAGGGGAGAAAAAGGGAGGAGGGGAAGGAAAGAGAGAGAAGAGGCAGGAAAGATCTGAGTAGATGGAATTGCATGAATAGACCAAGGCTCTCAATGGCTTTGGGTAATCTGTCTCTTCTGCAATTTCTGTTGCTATTTTCTACAGTTGTTATACTGATGCTGACATTGCACTGATATTAGTAGCAGAAGTGAGTTATACAATATTTGTACCATTTTCTCTGCTGATCTGGTCCAATTTCATCATTTTTAGTTCTCTTAGGAGTACAACTTTCTACTACTATCTGGCCAACAAATAAGATCTGTTATTTTTTGTGGAGTTTTGGCTGTGATCAAACCATTGTTATCGAACTCTACAGTCAAATTGTAGACTTGGACGAGTTTACGTGTTGAGTATGAGTTGACTCATTTGTAAACTTGTTTTTGTGGTGGACTGGAAATAGACTTGAGCATACTCGGTAGACTCAGGCAAAACTTGAAGTAGACTTGGGATAGACTTGGGGTAACTCGGGTAAACTCAATTAACTTGAAAATAATGTCATTTGGAGGATTGGAAACATAGAAACTTGAAGACATTTGTCTTTTTCTAGTTATTTAATTGTTATCACTTTAAGAACTTATGTTTTGTTGTTGTATGAACTTGGGTATATGGTGTAGTTTGAACTTGTATAGTATCCATGTACTGCTAAACATAGTATTATAGAATTATTGTTTATTATTTTGCTTAATCATGATGTTGAGATGTTTAGTTGGCACGTTATTTACAAATTTTATATTTATTTTTCATACACTTAGAAGTCTAGAGTATAGTCTATGGAGCTCCCATGAATCTACTTAGACATTCAAGTTTGATAACGATGGGTAAAAGGGCTCGTTTTCCACCTCTGTTTCTCCTTATGCATTTCTCTTATGGCCAATCCCAAGTGCTGATAAAAGGGGAGAGTTGTATATTAAGCCATTGACAGCCAATGTAAAGCTTGTTGAAACCCCAAACAGTTTTTCTTATGAATGAGACAAGAAAAAGAGAGTGAAATCCTCTACATATTCTATTTTGCAATTATACAGACACTTAGTTGATTTCTTGCATTGTGTCTGTTTAACAGTATCCCATATGGCGTAGATTTCAAAGGCAGCATGTTGTGAAACATCATGAAAGATAAGCTTAAATTAAATAGCTTAAAATAAGACAATCATTTGGTCTGAAAAATTAATTTTTCTTGCAGGGCGCCCCACTCACTATGCCCTTTTCATTAATAGCTTACATGATTGGCATGACCCATTGGTAAATATCAACATGAGGAAGTTGTTCAGTAATTCGTTTTAGTCTGCTGTATATTCAGTTCAAGGGTGTTTGTTTTTTTTTTTACTACTACAGTGAAGCTGTTGGTGAGAATTACTGTAAATTTCCCAACTAATAAATCAAAATTTTGTATATTATTTTCCCCTTTTGTTCCATGGCTTTTTTATTCATGTCTTTGTTGCAAAGTTTTTACTTTCATGTGCTAGCTCAATGACATTTAGATGTTTCTTCAAATTCAGTTTTTGGCCATCAAGACAACCCTATATATTTAACAAGAAGCCCCAAAGTTGTGGTTATTTCTTATACCATGCTTCATCGTCTAAGAAATAACATGCTTGAGCATGAATGGGCTCTCTTAATTGTTGATGAATCTCATCACGTGCGATGTACGAAGAAAACAGAACCTGGAGAGGTATGCAATGTTTCCATTGTGTTTCTTGTAAAATTTAAAACACCAAAAAGAACTTTGCATTATGTATACATTGGGATTTCCTATATATTCATTAAATTGATATATATATATATATATAATATAGGAAGAAAACAACCATAAGAAAAAAATTGATACATTATGTTTTGCACGTGTGAGTAGCATTGTATATTCATAGGAAAGATAAAGTTGCCAAGTGTGGGCCTGACTACCCTCCATTAAAACCTTTTTATGCACCACATATACACACATACATGTGTGTGTGTGTGTGTGTGTCTCTCTCTCTCTCTCTCTCTCTCTCTATATATATATATATATATATATATATATTTACTTTCCCAAATAAGTCATGATCCAATTGTAACTTGGCTCACATAACCTTCATTACGAGACAATTGATACAATTAATGACAATCCCGCTCTTAGAAATTGTCCAATGGGAATCAAACTCGATTATGATTTGGCCCACTTGGTCTTTGTCAAGGAACAATTGATGAAATCCACAACAATCTCTTCCTTGGTATTTGTAGGAATTGAATTCGTGATCTTGGCTTTGATACTAATTGTTGGTTCCAAGTGTTTATCTCTAGGCCAACAGTTATAGCTTATAATTAAAGTGGATCCATTCTATTTTTAAGTGTAACAACTCAAGTACCACTATTTAATTGTGACTTGACCCATTTGACTTCCATCACAAACAATTGACCCAATCCGCAACAATCATATTGTAAGTGTTATGCATGTTAAAAGTTTATTTGTTTTTTGTTGCTCTTACTTGCATGTTTTCAAATGTCATCCTTGCAAAATTATTTATGTAAAACACGTTATGTATGTGAGTTTACAATTTATTAAAGTTAATTTATGTTATTAGAAATGGAGAGGTACATAACTCAACCCTATAAAACTAATTGGTGAGGTGAGGTTTGCACCTCAATTATGCTTAACTCAACTTTACAAAATCGCTTGTAAGGTGAGGTTTGTACCTCAATTATATATTATAAGTTGGTGATATCTCTAGTTGATGTGAGATTTCTTAACATATGCCAATCCAAGGCTAATTTATAACTGCTTGCTGGGATTAAAAGCCAGTCAAGATTAAGGAACTATTTTATTGGGATAAACTGTAAAGCTTGTTAATAATTTTGGGGACTTGTATGGATTTGGATTGAGGGAGGAGATTTAGATTCACGGGATAAGAAGATCTGGTTGTGATCTGGGAATCGAAAAAGTATATTTTTTCATTAGAGTCAGAAATCAAATATGTTTTGTTCAAGTTCATTTATTATTTTGAAGAACTGCTTTCAGAAGTCAGATTCATGTGCTTAATACGTGTCCTGTATTTGTAATTTAGTGTATTATCCTTTATCCCTATAATTTAGCTAAAGCCTGAAAGTTATTGATATTTTGTCGCCAAATCTTTTGCTTGAACAGATACAGGCTGTTCTTGATGTTGCTTCGAAAGTCAAGCGTATAATTCTGCTATCAGGGACACCTTCTCTGTCAAGGTTTTAGCATAATCCCAGCAAGCCAGCTGCACTTGCTCTAAACTTGGAATGAACATGAAAAATCTTATTTAATATTTTGGTTTTGACTCCATATTTAACTTTCTGTTCTTTGTTATAATTTGTGTTCTCTGTTCCTTTTTTTTTTATTATTTATCAATTAAACTTTTCTTATCTTATGGTGCCTCTCTTCCTAGGTACTTATAGACCGTACGACATATATAACCAGATAAATATGTTATGGTAAGTATATTGGCATTGAGTTCTTTTCATATTTAATTTTTTTTCTAGAAAGCCTATTAATGCAGTTTTCTGCAAATTGCTTATACTTTACAGGCCTGGTTTGCTCGGGAAGACTAAATATGAGTTTGCAAAAACATATTGCGATTTAAAATATATTAAAGGAATCCAAGGAAAATATTTTGCGGTAATCCTGTTATAAAAACACTTCATGTACTCTTGATGAATATGTGCATGTGGAACATCTGTATTTATATATTTCGCTGACATTATACTTATCTTCTGGCTGTTAAGAAGTTATTTCTTACAACAGAAGATCATTACACTTGTTATTAGAAAAAAAAGGACAAAAAAGGCTAATTCAAAGGTTATAGATATTTTAGATTCTGTTTTGGCCTCTTGGAGGTGTTTTTTTTAATACTTCTATCATTTACGTAAAGATTGTCATCTTTTTTATATTTAGTTATTTGTGATGAAGCTAATAAATTTCAGTGTCATATTTCTTTATGGTTATACTTTGTTGTTAAAAAATTGACATGAATTATGGGATTACACTGCAGGATTATTCAAAGGGTGTGCGCTTGGAAGAGTTGAACGTGCTACTGAAGCAAACTGTTATGGTGGGATCTCATCCCATAATAATCATCTGATCAGTACTTCCATTTTTTGTATGTGAGATCTGCGAAGCTAAATTACACTCTGATGAATGTGTTCTGATTTTGTTTATTTATTTAGCCAATCTCATCTAGTGGGATAAGGCTTGGTTGTTGTTTTAATTTTGATGACTTGATTATTACATATATGTTTATAACCGTTTTAAGTGCGTAACATAAGACCACATAAACATTGATGTTTTTAAATGATTAATTATATTTTGGCTTCACAATAGTATTTTTGCATGAGTTCTTACTGCCTATACTTATTTTGAAAAAATGCTGAGGTATTACTTCAGAGATGATTTAGAGTGGTGATTTTGATTTTAAATGTCCATTTGGTTATTTAGTGCCATATTTTACTTTCAAATACTTAACACCGGTGTTCATGTTTTTGATGTCAATTTGATTACAATAGTGCTTTTTGATATTTCTCCTTGATTGTAAAGAGAATGGTCATATTATGTCTTCCATTGTAGATAAGGCGTCTGAAGGAACATGTGATGCTACAGTTACCTCCCAAACGCCGGCAAATTATAAGACTGTTGATAAAGAGATCAGATATAATTGCTGCAAAAACTGCAATTGGGGTATTGAGTATTGATGCCACTGAGCAGGAAAGTGAAGACATACCTTTGGAAAATTTGGATGAACCTGATGGTATTGTTAAGGAACCTTTCCCACTACAGCAGTGAGATGTTGGATTTGTGTGTCGTCTAATGTGTCACATAGCCTTCAATTCATCATTGTTTTAGTAGATTGGTATAAATTTGCATAAAAAAATTCCAGCTAAGGCGGGCTCAAAATCTTTTTGAAATTATTACTTCATAGCAGTGAATTTGATTGCTTATGATATGAATAACTGAAATTCTATTGTAAACCTAGATGGTTTATAATTTACTAGTGATACAGATGGTCACAGAAAATATCCCAAAGGACCAAAAAAAGTAATAAAACAAGTCCAATTGCTACCTATGAGATCTAACATTACCAACCTAGTCTTGAACTGTGCAAAGATAGGAAAATTAATTAAAATTTCCTGCTCTTGTCAATTTTTGTCAACCTACTCTTTGTCAATGTACCTTTGTAAAGAATGTTGCTTGGTAGTTATTTTTTCTTCTTGTTCTAAGAAAATGGCTATTCTAATTCCTCTTGTATCAAGATAATATTACACTTTCCAATCTGTGTATATATGAAAGCAGACACGTTATGGCTGTAATGTGGAAGCTTATAATCAAAGTTTCTTTATTCATCTCTTGTACCTTTTTTCAGGAAAGCTTTCTTATCAGGAACTTGGAATTGCAAAGCTTTCCGGTTTCCGTGAATGGCTTGCCCTACATCCAATTGTTGCAGGTTCAGAGAATGCTTCAAAAATGATAATTTTTGCTCATCACCACAAAGTTCTTGATGGAGTGCAGGTTTGGAAGCTATTGCATATTGTAAATCCCTTTAGCAGTTATGTAAAATAGTGGAGTGACGACAGTGACTCAATGTTTTCCTTTAGGCATTTTTGTTCTGCTTTGGACTGGCTATCATATTTCAACTTTAGGAAGTGTTTGGCCCAACTTAAAAAAGAGAAATTGGGCCAAACACATTTTCTAAATAGTTTTTAAAAGTTAAGCAACTTTTTTTTATTAGAAAAGAAAAGGAAAAGTAGTTTGTTAAAAAAAAAGGGAGTGAAGGAGCTTTTAGAAAAAATGGGCAACTTCTATTCTTTCTCTTTCCTCACTCACTTCTAAGTTAAAAGAAATGATTGCTGTCAAACAACTTCTACTTTATTTTTAAAGCTATTGTTTCAAATTTATCTTTGAAAGAAATTTTACAGCAAATATTGCCTAAGTAAATCATGCTCCCAGTACATGTTACTTTTGGAATCACCTTGACTCGTTGATATCCTGTTTTAGTGATTGGAGCATGATGTTCTCTTGCTGTCTTGTTCGTTTATTCAATTGGCTATCATCTTAGTTCTTCGATTACTTTGGCCTCATGTGTTTTGATGACTATTATGTCTGACAAACATTCATGTATTACTTTTATATGAAGTTTGTCTTTCTGAACCATTCAGGAGTTTCTATGTGAGAAAGGGATAAGTTTTGTACGAATTGATGGAAATACTCTTGCCAGAGATAGGCAATCAGCAGTAGTCTCATTCCGGTCATCACCAGAGGTATCACAACCTTCTCTTTTTTCTCCTCAAACTATTGTGGAAAATTATCCACTCTCTTTATTTTGTTTCCCTAATTAACTTATGACATTTTTCATTTTTAATTGTATTTGGAATTATAACTTGCAGTTTTTCTACTTTTGTTAGATAGTTTAACTTGTTAGAATAGGCTAACTAACTTGTCTTCTCTAAACAGCTATTTCACTAATACTTATCTATCACTTAGGTGTAGTTTTTCTTTTTACACTCCGTCATGTATCTGTGATGTAAGTTTCCTATAAATAATACATGGATTACCCAAGAGATCAGTCAATCTCTTAAGTCTTTTTTCATTTTTTCTCTTAAGTTAGTATTAAAGAAGATCAATCCTGCTTTGCTTCTCATTTTCAAGTGAGTCTGCCATCGACTATGTCCTTTTTTCTTCGATGAACATGTGGTCTTGTTTGTCTTGTCAAGCATTGTGATCCCACTGTTCATCTGCATCTGCTACTGCCAACCACTGTCTTTCACTACGGTGAGCGTTGGATCTGTTGCGTCTTGCCCCACAAGTAGCTTCTATGCTCATTGCACCAGATTGCATGTGGGTTTGCTGGCCTTCCTTGCCCTTGTTTCGACCCCTGGTTCTCAGTTTCCACCTTTGGCTGAGGTTGCGGTACTTCAAATCCCTCTTGGGTTCATTCTTCTTGGTGGTTTGTTCACTGTTCTTGGTAGAGTCTGTTCAGTGTTCCCTTGCTGATCTGTGCACTGTTTGACTCTTTCCTCTTTCAAATTGTCTTCTAGACCTGTCACCTTCTTTCTGATAATCCTACAATTACTTCTGAAAAACATAATGGAAAAAATTACCTTTCTTGGTTTGCCTCAGTTGAATTTTGGTTATTGGCCAAGGTTTTCATGATTACTTGGATGAATATGGGAGTAAAGGACCATCAGATAAAGTTTGAAGAGTGGAAAATGATTTTCAGTTTTGTGCTTCATTGTTGCAATATTTGGAACCCAATATTATTGGGCACTATTGGGTTATTCAAAATTTGAAACTCTTTTGGAAAAAGGTTAAGAGTATTTTTGCAAATGATATTACAAGCCTGGAGGATTCTGCCCATATTGGCTTGTCTCAAACAGACAGATCACAACATGAATTCTTTCATTGTTGAAGCCCAATTCTTAGAAGTTGATTCATTCAATGAGATTAAGAAGTGGATACATTCTATATGGTTATGATTATTTGTGCCATAAACCCGTATTTTGGTCATGTTTAGGATTAAATCATAACCAGTTCCATCAGTAGAGAGCCTAATAACACACTTGCTTTGTGCTTCTACACTTTAATGTAGAAATCTTCATGATTCTACCGAATCATAACTACTCAAGGAAAGGGAGGTCGTGGTGCAGTAGAGGAACACAGTCATAACGGATGTCCTAATGCTTTAATTGTAAGAGAATGAGACATACCCAAGAAAATTTCTTCACTTTACATGGTTTCTCTAACAAGACAGCAAATATATTCAAATCTAATAAGGTTGAACCAACATTTTTTGATGAAGAATATCTAGAATATCATAGGTTAAAGTCCAATAACAAAGCACAACCTTCCATCCAAACTAGTTTGTCAACAACTTATATTTCTCAAACCATGAAGAGTTGAAGTCCGTGGATAATTGATTTATGTGCTTCTATTTTTGGTAATACTTCTTGGTTTTCTTCCATTTCTTCTATAGAGTTCTTCATTTTATTACTATATCTAATGGGGCCAATGTTGCTTCTCTAGAGTTGGCCAAATCTCCCTTTCTCACATTGAACTTAATTTTTGTTCCTTTAACATAATTTCTTGTAAGTTAATTAACTAAATCATTAAATTGTTCTGTAATCTTTGATGTCAAATCCTTTATCATATGGGACCATGATGTGGGTTTGATTGGTGAAGGACATGGATCTAGAGGACTATGCGATCTTAAATCTAGATCATTTAAGTTTTGCATCTCCATCTCTTAAATTTTTGCGTGATTGTTTGAGTTATCTCCACTTAGCAACTTAGCAAAATTTAAGAGGATAGTTCTTGAACTTAACAAAACATTAAGTTATTTCTCATATACTTTTGGTCACTAAAGTGGCTCAATCAAAAGTATTGTAATTCAAAGAAAACATGTTTTAGATATCTTGGAAGAAACATGCGTGATTGATCATGGATAAGCGAATAGCCCAATGGGTCCAAATTATAAATTATTGACAGGGTAGACTGAACCTGTCTCAGACCCAAAAAGATAAGAAAATTTGTTGGAAAATTTAATCATCTTACTATTACTAGATTTGAGTTGTCTTTTCCAGTTAAAGTGATTAGTCTGTTTATGTAGGACCTGTCTTGATCATTGGAATACTATTGTTTGCATCCTTAGATCCCTCAAAAGGGTTCCAGAACAAAAATTGCTTTATGAAGATAAGAGATATACTCAAATGGCTGAGTATTGTGATGTTGATTGAGTAGGACCTCTTATAGATAGGTGCTCCACCATTGGGTATTTTATTTTCGTTGGAGGTAATATAGTTTCTTGGAAAAGTAAGAAACATAATGTACTTGATATCTAGTGCTGAAACTCAGTATATGGTGATGACTGAGCATCTCTTACTTGTGAACTTATGTGGATAAAACAATTATTTCATGAGCTGAAATTTTGTGAAATTTAGCAAATTAGAATACACTATAGTAACTAGAAATTGACTGTTATTTTGTTCGAGAGATGTTGTTAACCAAGGATATTTGTAGATATTTTAGCTATATCCTGGAAAAGATCTCAAATTCAATTTATATGTTCCAAGCTATGTACATACAATTTATAAGTTCAAGCTTTAAGGGGAGGTTAGCATAGTTTAGCTTGTTAGAATAGGTTTATTGCGTGTCTTCTCTGAAAAGGTGTTTCACTTGTACCTATCTGTCACCTAGGTGTAGCTTTTCTTTTTACTCTTTCCTCTTATATCTCTGACGTAACTCCTAAAACTAATACATGGATTAACTAAGAGATAAAAAAAAATATTATTGTAGCCCCCAAATTGGGGAACTAAAATGAGGATTTGAATCTGCTTTTAGTCCTTCAAATTTAGTATTTAAGGACTAAAATTCTATTTTACTAAATTTGATAGACTATAATTAGTTTTTTTTTTTTTTTTTTTTTTTTTTTTATTTGGATGCTGAAAAAGAACTTAACCCAAATTTCAGGAACTAAAAACATAATTAAAAAAACTAATATTACATTTAATATCAAGTCTGATGTTCCACTTATTAAAAGAACAATTTGTTGTGTATGCTACGAGTAAGAACCATGTAATTCCTAAAATACACTATCTTGAACATTTCTGTTACGGCACTTACGCATGTGTTCTGAATTCTCTTAAACTGTTTTGCCTCTTCATATGGTTTACTTGACTTATGGGTTAAATTTTCATGTCAGGTCAAAATTGCTGTAATAGGTATTCTAGCTGCAGGTTTTGGACTTGATTTCTCAACAGCACAAGATGTAGTGTTCTTGGAGCTACCACAGTGCCCAACTCTAATGCTCCAGGTTCTTTTTGTTCAAATACCACTTCATTAATTAATTTGTATTTATAACTATTTTGGATTGTAGAATTGGTATCATATGCCAGTGACTCGTGTTTTCTGTTGTGAATTTGGTTTGAAACAGTTTGTGCAAGTGTCAATGTAAGTGGGAAACTCTAAAATGGAACTGATTAGTGTAGGAATAAAGTAGTCCTATTGGTGATTGGTATACAATAATGAAACTGTCAGTATTATGTAAATAGCATGCAGCGAATGTCTCCCGATCTGGTACTGGATGTTTGAAGGACAGACTCGTTGGGATTATAGACACATCTAAAGATGACTTCCTTTAAAGGAACAAAAGGAATAGACATTTAGGTGTGTCTGTATAAATAGTTGATAATGTTTTATTGCAAAATTGGGCCTGGGTCACTGTAAGTCGATAGAGATAATGGAACTAATGATTCAACTTTCTTAGGACTAATCATGCAAAGTCTTACACTTGATGCAGTCTTTTTTACCATGAAACGGATGAATTGTATCTTATGTAAATAATGTTAATGTCTTGAAGGCTGAAGATAGAGCACATCGTCGAGGACAGACAAATGCGGTTAATGTTTACATATTCTGTGCAAAGGTGATTGTGTTCTCATTCATTCTGAAAGTTTGGGAATAGGGCATGTTGTGATATGCCTAATGTCTCTTACAAGCTGCATTTGTTGGTATAATCCATCTATAGGATACCTTGGATGAAACAAAATGGAAAAATTTGAACAAAAGTTTGCAACGTGTTTCATGTACAACTGATGGCAAATATGATGCGGTGAAAGAGATAAAGGTATCATATTTATGTTTTTCATTAGCTAGTCACAGTTAGCTTCATATTGAATTGAGAAGCACGGGTATTTGCAAATTATCTTTATACTAGTAAAATATTTTAAATCTTAAATTAGCTCATTATGATTTATGGGTCTACTATATATTTGAAATCTCTCATTGTGAGATGAATAAAACATTTTGATCGTCTTTGCAAGTAATAACTTTTCAATTGAATGACTTATTTTGCATTGGTTGTCAATAAAGTTCTCTAACCTGTTGGAATTTTCATCTCAATGCTGTGTAAGTTTTTGATATGAAAGCTTGCCTTCAGAGTTTTAGCTTTCTGATAACCTAACAAAATACACTTCTGTTGCCATTATTATGAAACAAATGAAACAAAAATGCTTGATATTTTGTAATGTGTTACAATTTTTTTCCTCCCTTATTATATCCATCTGCTTTCTTTTGGGGATATTTGGTGGCAGGTTGAGGGCATTTCTTATTTACACTCATCTTTTAAAAGTGATAATTGTGAAGAGCAATCTGCATACAAAGATGCAGTAGTTGAGACACAATTGGATGAGCAACATTCTGCAGTCAATTCAAATGAATCAGAGGAAAATCAAGATGATAAATCTGACGAGGGTTCTTTTGTTGATAAGTCAATTCAAAGTTCTAATATTTTGGTAATACACTGGCAGTTAAACTTTAAATTGTTTTCTCTCACTTTTAAGCGTAGTATTTCGTTGCCTTATTTTATTCACTATATTACTTGCTTTTTTATTAATTATTCTATTTTGTTGCTAGAATAGACTGATGATGTCTCCAGCCAAAATTTAAGCAAGGCTTCAGTTCTTGACACAACTTGTGATGTTGATGCTTTTGAAGTTGCGGAGAGATGTCCTGGAAAGAGTTTTGAAGACAGAGATCCAGTAATTGCGGTGCCCTTTCACTATCGTCTTTCAGATGTAGAGAAGGACTGTACTTTGCTCATGTTTGTGCTTGAGTGCTTAATGGTCTTATTTTTCAGTTGCAGGATATGAAATCAATTTCAACAACAGAAGCAGATGGTGACCAGTCTGTTCATCCGGTTGAAGTCGATAGTCATTGTTCTTCTAATCAAGTTGATTTTTTGCGATTTGAGGTAATATCTTATTTTAATACTTGATAGTTGAGTCAGTCCATTGTACAAGAAAATTGATGTCTTTTTAGTCATTTGATTCTATAAAAAAGTGGATTTAGGCCTAATTCAATCCTATAAAATTTGTTTGTAAGGTGAGGTTTGCATCCGATTTAGCATAGGAATGAATATTTGTAGGTGGTCCAGTAGCTTCTTGATAACAGGTGACACAATAGGTCTACCAAATCTTGTCAGAATAGGCTGTGATAACACATTAAAAAGTAGATTTAGGCCTAATTCAATTTTACTAAACCGATTTGTAAGGTGAGGTTTGCATCCCACTTATATATTATAATTTGGCTATGTCTCTAGATGATGAGGGATTTCCAACAAATTTATTAGTTATTGTTACAAGAGAGAAAATAAAGGCACCTTGTGCATAAGATCATGTGTTGGAATTAGTGTTATCATTATAGGATAATGGTAAATATTGACAACCAAAAAATCCTTTATGAAAATATATCGAGTGTTATAAGGGTTATGGCGGAAGTATTGCGGGATATATATGTATGTGTGTGTGTGTGTGTATATATAAAATTGAAATGTAAAAAAATAATAAAAAGTAATTATATAATTAATAATGATATCAATCGAGTATAGAATTTCAAATAATAGTTAAATCAAAACAAAATATCATCAAATTTAATTTCTAAATTACATTATTTAGTTGGCATTGAAGTTCCTGAAAAATAGATTAACCTTTTTAGATATATAAATTATAAAAAAATTGGGGCGGTTGGTTGTGTTGGAACGAAGAGGAAAGAGAGTTAAAGAAAAAAATATGGGACAAAGTGAACTGAGAAAAGAAAAAGAATAAAACAAAAATCAAGGCAGGAAAAAAATGGTTGATTCACCTTGCTGTAGAGAATGAAGGAAGAATAGAAACGAAAATGGAGTTGAACATAAAAAGAAAAGAAAAAAGAAACACAAATTAAACTTGGAGCAACAACGATGATGGTAGTAGTGGTGACGAAGATGGTAGTGGTTATGAAGATGGTGACAATGGTGGTGAAGATGGTGACATGGTGATGATAGCAGCGGCGATGATACAGGTTTGTCGTAAGTGAGATGATAAGGTTTGTGGTAAGCGAGAAGTGCGAGAGATATGCTCGGTTGGGTCTTTTTATTTAGGTTGAGTTGCTAACCTAACCTTTTCCCCTTTCTTCCCTACTAGTGGGCTGATTCTCTTATAAACCCATAAAAACAACAAAACATAAGAAACCGTAGGTCAGGTCTGGTCATGCAAACCCAACACATCTTCTTCGACCTCATTACACAAGAAGTGCAATTGCAGGAGTGAGATTTTTGCCATGACTGCTCCACGATGCCATTCTGCAACAGCTAAATTGGCCACTATAGGCCGCCATGCAAAACTGCTTCGTCACCGCCTTGCTATGGTGGTCGGCAAAAACTTCAAATTCAAAATACACCATGGCTGCATGATTTTATAAGTTTATTGCATTCATTACACATAATCAAAGAATGTGTTATTTCCCTTAGATGAGATGTTCATGTCTATAAAATTAAATTTATCATCATAAGATTCATAATATTAAAATTTGATTCTCAACATCCCTGAAAGTTGGAGCATATAAGTCACATGTGCCCAATTCGTTACATATGCAATCAATTTCAACAACTTTGACAAAACATGTTATAATTTCTTTTGCCTCAATCTTTTATTTGATAAAATAACAATAAACTTTAATATGTTTAGTTCTCTCATGAAAGGTTGGATCCAAAACAATATGAAGAAAAACCTGGTTATCACAATTGAGTGTCATGTGAGTAGATTCTTCAAAGCTTAGGTCTCTGTGTAGCTCTTTCAATCATATGAGCTCAAATGTTCCTAATGCCATTACCTTGAATTTTGCTTCAACCCTTGACCTTGTTCCTACATTCTTTTTCTTACTTTTCCTGGAGATCAGGTTGTTGACTGGCCCAATCAACACAATATCGAGATGTGGATCGCATATTATTGAATGAGTCAACCCAGTCAACATTGAAATATCTAACTATTTTACAATGTCCCTACTTTTAATAAATTAGGCCTTTTCAAGCGAATTTCTTAATTTACTTGAGAATTTGAGTAATCGTACCCCAATGGTTGTGACAACAGAAACTAACTCATCAAACTTATTGCAAAAACCATATCTTGACGAGTGACAATGAGATAATTCCGTTTGCCAACTAGCCTTTTATATCTCCCTATATTCATTAAGGGATACCCCGTATTAGGTAGCAACTTTACACTTGGGTCAATGAATGTCTACTACTAAGCATACTTTCTTTGGGAAATTGTCAAATTGTCCTTGGATTGAGAAATTTCGGTAATTAGTGTGTATTACTATTGCGAAATGGCCATGATGTAGGAAGATTGTGCAACTTCTATTCTAAAGAAATATTTGAGTGGTTTGAAGAGTTTAAGAAGTACCTAGTGTGTAATTGTTTGAGTTGACCGTGGAAATGAGATTTGAAGTGGTGGATTTTGTCAATGTTGTTGCCAGTTAAGTAACAGAGGTGGAGATGGAGGAAACAATTGGTGCTAGAATAGTGGAATTGCCAACGAAGCATTTAGACGACTATCATTAACAATAGTGTGGGAGAAGAAAGGATTGGACCCAAATAAGGAGATGCCAACATAGACAACCTACCCCATTTTAATTGAGGACAATATTAATGTTAACGATTTTGAAGATTGGAGTAGCCAAAAACATCGAGAATAATTATTGCCAAAATAAAAGACAAACACAATTGGTCCCAAATATTGGAGTGTACTAAAGCCAATGAGGACATAGGACACTTATTGATAGTGGACTATAGGCATGATCAATATTTTTGCTTATTGGCAAGATTGACACTAATGAGAGATAGAAAAACTAGTAAATAAACAATGTAATTTGTCCACACTAGTGAGGCTTGTGAGGCGTACGCAACCGTTGATGACAATTGATAGAATTCTCCAAACTTATGTTCTACTCCATGGACGAATAAAACAAAATATAAAAATAGGTTAGGAAGTGGGTAGTTCATCCTAGGCCATGGATTGTAATTGGGAGCCATATGCAAGAGTAAAAGAGGGAAAAGAGGTAGAAAGCGATATTCAAGAGAAAATTGTTTGGGTGCCCATCATATGATCTGAGGCACTAGAATCAAGGATCTAGAGTCCAAGAGAAGAGGTTTGATAGATTAAGGGTATAAGATTCCTAGATTGAGCCATAATAGTTATGAGCGATGTATGTTGTTGAGTTGCATGAGTTGAAACAACTCACTGAACTTGGTGGGAGAAATAGTAATTCATGTACAGGGTAGGAGAAAAAACATGTGCCCCATTCATAGTTTTTGGTTGCTCTTTTGCCTTGGTGTGACATTGGATTTCAACATGACATTGGCCATTATGTTCCCCACTTTGTCCACCATGATTAGAAGAGTTGGTGCTAAGGGCAAACAAGTCACTAGAGGAGGTAGATGATTGCCCAAAAGCATGTGGAGTGGAGAGATGTAGCAATCATTCACTAACCATGGCATAGAAATAGTGGATGCTGAGAGGACTTGATTGCAAACCAATTAAAAGTCCAAGGGTTGATTGACAAGTGCGGAAGCCATGAGATAGTAGATTTGTTGCATCCATATTGAAAGGCATAAGATTGCCAAAATCATTCACTAGATGGTCAAGCTTACCAAGATATGTATGCATGTCCATATTCTCCAAATTGGTCAAGGTCACAAAGGTGCTCACACCATAGAGATGATGCATATTATTGAGTAGACTTTCTTTGCTTCGTGCCAAATATAGTAGCAAGTGAGGAAGGCTTGGTATTGAGATTGAGGCTAGGGGCAACGGAGAACCAATGAATGCTTCACAGAGATGCATTGATTTACTGCTAACAACACGATCTGATGGTGGGTATTGTTCACCAGGAACAAAAGAAAGGAGAGGAGGTGGAGACTACTAGATACTTAAGGGTTTCAGTAAAAAACCTATTTCCCCGAAACCATGAAGGGTTTGCTGAATGTTTATCAGATCACATGATTCTCTGTTTATAATGATCAAGAATACAAGATATGGAAACAAAATAATGAGTATTATGGGATATAATCCCTAATTGTTAGCCATACATATTTTCCTATTTACATAGTATCAGACAATAGGCTGTCATATCATGTGTACAGGAATAAAATATACTATAATTATTTGTGCTTATGTTAATTGGTTTATGTAAAATGGACTCTGGTTTGTAGTCCATGCATGAACTTCTCAGCATCTCTTGATCTATTGTTCTCTCTTTTAACTTTTCTATTAGAAAGAATATGGGAGCTTAACTATGGTTGAAGCGTGGGTTTATGTGTTTACTTGGGTATATTTTTGGTTAGAGCAGAATGTACACATTTTCAACTGTAGTTTGTTTGTTACCCTTGGTGATATTCATAGAGGTTGAATTGTGCAGTTGATTATTATTTATAAATACGATAACATTTGCTTGCTCTTCAGGTGAGCCCATACACTGGAAGGATCCACTTGTATACTTGCATTTTGGGTACTGATGAGAGACCACAGCCACTTTTTGAAAATTTTCGACCAGAGGAACTTGAGCTGTTGAGTTCTGTTGCTGCTTATGAGAAACAGGTTCATGATGAGAAACAGAAAATAGAGTTTGTATCTGTCAAGGACAACCCCACCTATAGGCATGCTCTTCTAGCTTTTGCGGAAGAATGGAAGAACTTGAGATCAATTGAACGAAGGAAGTTAATTGGAAAACCGTTACAACTCCCTTTGGCTGTTGAATTATGCTATTTGAGTGAAAGCAATAACCACAACAACAAAGTAAGTATTGTGAAATTGAACTGCTTTTAATGGATATGATTATTTTTCATCAAGTTAATCTATGATTGCTGCTAGTTTTTTTGCTTTATATAATGTCACAATACCGAAGTTTATGATTCACAGGGATTATTAAATGGTGGAAGTAAAAGACGAAAGACACCCTTAATGGAGATTAGCTATCCTTTACCAACAGATGCTGTTTGGAGAAAGGTTTATCTGCGAAGTGGACTCGGTAAGAAGGAAAAGGAATACACTCAAGGCTGGAGTGTGACAGATGAGCCTCTCTGTAAGCTTTGTCAAAAGCAGTGCCTGTATGTCCTATGCCAATCATGTATTCCTTTTATGTTTTTATATCAGTGTTTAGTTATTAGTAACTCTATCTTTCAGTGGTAACAATGCCAAGAGACCTGAATTTCTAGAAGATCTTTTTTGTAATCTTGTCTGCTATGAGGAGTATCGCATGAGAACTAGCAACAGATTCCTTCGTGAGGTCAGAACATTGATTATATTCAATTTAAATTCAGATGTGGTTTACTAATTTTGCATTGTTATTTGAATGTTCTACCCCAGAAACAGTATTCTGTAGTTTGTCCTGTCTCTGAGCTGGCATTAAATGTACTTAAGTTGAGATTTTCAGGAACTTTTTAAAATTGAACATGGTGTGTGCACAAACTGCCAATTGGACTGTCATAAGCTTGTTAAGGATACAAGACCTTTGTCATTGGAAAGGCGGCGAGACTACATAGAGAAAGTAGCACCAAATGTTGCTAAACGGAAGAACATGTAAGTCTAAAATATGAAAGTGAAATACCTACGGCTAATTCTCTTATGTTAATGAATAATGTTATAGGCTTGTTGAAAGACTTTCTACACAGAAGAGTGTTAATAACTAGCTTGTTAACCTTGCACCAACAGTCTTCTGAAGTACTAGTTGATCATCTGCAGGCTTGAGAAACTTGTCAATGAACCAACTGAAGGCAATGCATGGCATGCTGACCATATTGTTCCAGTATATCAAGGAGGAGGTAGAAATTATTTTAAAGTTTAATCCTACTTGCATTTTTGGAAGAGATATATAATATCAACTTTAGTTATAGTGATCTGTTTGTCCTGGAAGGTTTTAGTTGGTTCAATGGAAATATCAATATAAAATATTGATGCATTGGAAGCATCCATGTTATTAGCTTATATACTTATGTATTGTTGGAGAGATGCCTTAATTGTGGTCACTCCTAGCTCGTCGTAGTTGCTTATAAAGCTTACAAATTAGTTTTTATGGGGTTAACTTTACCTTAGTTGTGGTCTTTTTCAGGGTTACCCTAACTACAACTTCAATAGGCTTCAAAAACCCATTTTTACCTATAAAACAAAATTCTTTAGGGTTTTTTAGTGATAAAATTATGATTTTTCTCCTATTTTCAAATGCTTTTTGTTTTTACTTTAAAGACAATATGATATGAAACTCTTCTTGACCGTTCATAGAAAATGTTACTTTGTTTCTTACTTCTGTTCCTTCAAACTTCATGGGACTTTTTCTTTCCTTGTGGTCTGTACTTTCTTTTGGACTTTTCCAATTCACATTATGATATTTTTATACAATGTTCGTTTTCTACTGATTTCAACATTATCTTGAATTTTTTGACTTCGTTACTAAGTTCAACATTATCTTGATTGAATGGAATTGATTGAGGTGTCATTTTGTCATCATGTTTTTTCTTATTGATTCTTGAAGAATCTTTAAATGGTGATTGATTTGGTCAAGATGTCATTAAATAATTTGTTGATGATTGAGTCGCTTAACTTTTTTTTTTTTTCATAATTTTTTTAGAGCAATTTTTGGCAAATTTGTTAGAATTTCTTGCCTTGTTCTGTTAGTGTTTATATTCAGATATGTCCATGTCTCTCCCTCATTTCTATTTCCTCTCGATCATAGAGAGTTATATTTTAGTTGAGTGATTGAATTTGATAACTTAGTTAATTTTTGGTCATTCATCATAATTCCCTCTATTTTGGATAAAAAATGGATTTTACCTGAGATTAATTTCGTAACTTGTTTAAATATTTCTATAGGTGAATGTAAGCTAGAGAATATGAGGACTCTTTGTGTTGCCTGCCATTATGATGTTACTGCCGCACAATGTGCTGAACGACGAAAAGCAAGAACAAATGCGAAGAAAAAACTGAAAGAGTTTATGAAGAGCATGAAAAATGGTATTATGGGTTCTGCTGGCACTAATATCAAGGTATCGTTGATAATAATGGAAAGCGATTAGAATCATAGATTTGATCTGTGAAAATCAATCAGAATTATATGATTTGATTTGTCCATTTTTAATATCAGGATTTATTGTAATTAAAATCTGTTTATATTTTTTCTTTTTTGTGTTTGAGAATTAGCTTTATGGGAAAGGATTTTTCCTGACATTCAGGCAGATCTTTCCATGATTTTCAGGCCTAGATTAGTGTTCAAAATTAATCTCCTCTTCCTATTTGTTTTTCTCAGTTGCATCAATTTCTTATCAATGAAAAAGATTCACTTTTCTAATAGTATCAGAACTCTATCTGAACCACACATAATCTCCAAGGTTGTCAAAATTGAGTGGGATAGGAGAGGGTCCACAAAATCGTAAATTGTGAAATCCTAATACGAATCGTAGATCCTACTTTTATATAATATAAAATATTATAGAATTAGAAGCCCCAACACCAGTGGAAGAAATTATAGAATTGTTTGGAGGAAAAGAGAATAGACCAAAATCAGTACTACTTTTATGAAGATGTGAAGTTGGTGAGCAGACCACACTGCACTCATAAAATAAATAGACTGAATAATTTGTTTTTTTTTTTTTTCCTGTTTTGAAACATTACATGTTTTGAACACAATTTATTTTTTATTTTTTCAATGTTTCCAAACGTTACAAAGTGAGCTGAGCAATTCATCAATTTATTTCTTCAAGGTGTTACATATTCTCATAGGAATCTGAACAGTTTTTTTCTTTCATTGTTTCAAACAGATCTAAACAACTTTTTTTTTTCTTTCTTCCACTATTTCAAATATCCACAGATCTGAACAGTTTTTATCTTTTCTTCCCCTGGTTCAAATGATCACAAATCTGAAAATTTTTCTTCTACTAGTTTCTTTCTTCCACTATTTTAAATGTGCCCTATTTCTTTCTTCCCCTCCCTGCAACGCAGCCCCCACGTCCCGCGATGCACCCCTAAATGGAACTAAGATCGTGATTCATTGATTTCTCCGATCTTGGATAGCGATATGAACGATGACACATGGTTCCAAGTTTGCCTGAGCACTAGCACGGTGCTTTGGTGTAGAATCGTGAAATCGGATGATTCCACGATGTTAATCGCGATTTTGACTACCTTGGTAGTCTCCCTTGCTTACCTAGCCATGGATGGGCTTGCATTTCCTATCACTGGCCACATATTGAATGGTTAGAATTATATCCATTTGGAGAGGTCAGTCTGAATCTTCCTGCAAGATACATCTCATGAAACTCTAATCCCTGATAAAGGACACCCCAACCCTAAAAAATGGCAATTGGAAAACAATTTTGTTAGCCATCACAAATGAATTTAGGGAAAAATTTTCATGTACTTTGACACCAATGAAGATATGTGGGATGTTGGGAAGGAAACGTATTCCAATATAGATAACACCTTTGCAATCTTTGAACATAAAAGCATAATTAATGAGCTGCAATTGGGTGAACCGGGAATCTATCTCAATATGTTTGGTCCTTTTGTGTAATATTATTGGGTTTGATGCAATGTGCAGGATAACTTAGTTGTCAGAAATGAGAATATTCTTAGTGACCTTTCCAAAATCTCAGTTCTTTAAGCAATTATTTGAGCCAAATGAGCTCAAAGGTGGTAGAGGTCATAGTTCTATACTCACCTTTACACTAGATCATTTCACTAAATTTTTTTTTTTTTTTTTTTTGCTTTTGTAGTCTAGAGGTGGATCTCCTATCGAATGGAGACCCTATCCAATATGATTTGGAGTAGCCCATAACTTGAGTGTAATTGTTGTAACTATATAGCAAGCCTTTTCCTAGATCACCTTTAATATACTTCAAAATGTGGATAACAACATTCCAATGTCTTGTACATGAAGAATTATGTGGGGCCCCGTGTCCAGGTAAAAGCTTTGTATTTGGATCCATGGGTGAGTCAATAGGCTTGAATTCATTAGTTAAATTTTTACTAAAATATACAATGCATATTTTTTTTTTTTTTTGAGAAATAACAATTCCATTGTTGAATTATTCTATTGTAATCCCCTCAACATATGTCAATTTGCCAAGGTCTTTTGTTTGAAAATGATGGCAAATGTTTCATTTGTAAGATGTCATGGTAATCACTACGTATATGAACAATGTCATTAACATCACTACCAAGTGATACGCCCATTATTTGTATGACAATAAAACAGTGAATGTTATGCTTGACTTCAAGTCATGACAAACTCCCCCTGAGCAAAACTAGGAGGTTGCTTTATGTAAATTTCCTCTAACAAAGGATTGTGAAGGAAGACATTGTTGACATCTAGCTATAAAAAGGCCAACGACAAAGGACAATTAGGGCAAGGAATAAGGGGACAAAAAGGCATCTTGGTGACTACATATCTAAAGGTGTCAACATTGTTCAACCCAGATATTTGAGTATAACCTTTGGTAACCAAGTAGACTTTGAGCTGATCAATAGTGCCATATAGGTCAACTTTGACAATAAAGATCCACCTACATCCAATAACAGATTTCCCAAGAGGTGAAGGAACAAGCTCCTAAATTCCACTATCTAGAAGAGAACACAGTTCAACAAGCATGATTTGTCTCCAACTAGGGTTTAAGAATTGATAAAGAGGAAATGGAAGTAAGGCAAGTATTAAGGGGTAGAGACAATCGATGATAGGTTATAGCAATGTAATGATGTGAAGGGTTGTGAGTGGAGCGTATATGTTTATGAAGAGCGATGGGAACATCAAACTCAAGTGATGGGATCAAAGAGGATGAAGGAGGTAGGGTCCATGTGTGGGGTTTGAGCTAGATTCAAAAGGGTGTGGACTAGACACAAAGTAGGGGGAAGACTTAGGAATGTAACATCAGCTAAGATTAAATAGCGACAAAGGGAGGTGAGAAATATTTTTTTTCTTTTTTGAGAAAAAGAGAACCCGAAAAAGACACATTTGTGGGATTGAGTTGATAAGTAGACCCGAACACTCGAAGGTGTAAATGATGGAGAGGTTGATGAGGAAATAAAATAAAATGTGGGATTCAATTTTCTAACTTTGGGATAATAGACAATGAGGATGACATTATGCCAAAATTGTTGCGAAACTTGATCATGATGTGAAAGGGTTCAAATTGTTTTAGTAAGATGTCTATTTTTGTACTCAATCACCCCATTTGGTTTAGGCGGATATGCACATGAGGTTTGATGAAGAAGATCATGGGAGGCCATAACAGTATGAAAAAATTAAGAGATACTCACAAGATTATTGCTATGGAGAGACTGAATAAAAACATCAAATTGATTTTAATTTGAAGTATAAAAGGATTGAAATAGAAAGAAACTCAAAATGATTTTTCATTAAGAATAGCAAAGTACATTGTGAATAGTCATTAATAAAAGTGATAAAATACTAAAAGCTTGAAGTGGATTTAATATGACTTGGTTCCCAAACATTTGAATGAACTAAAGCGAAAGGAAACAAAGCTCTATTAGAAGTACTCCTAAAAAAAGAAATATAACTATGCTTACTTAATTGACATGACTCATAAAACAAAGTAGACAACTTAGACAGACAGGGGACACGTTTTTGCAACTTAACAAGTTAGGATGACCCAATTGAGCATGGATGAGAGAGAGAAAGAGCCATCATAATCAAATATTCGAAGACAGTAAAGACCATGAGACTCATATTTGCTGCTAATTGTCTGTCTCGAATTCTGGACCTATAAGAAAACAAAATCTTTAGTAAAAGAGATGACACAATTAAGAGAACAAATGAGACGATTAAGGGATAATAAGTTAAAACCTAGGGATAGAAATAATATTGTCAACAAAAAAGAGAAAGGAAAAGATGCACAATACCAACATTATGAAAAGGGGGCCCAGAGCCATTAGCCATGGTGATAGATGGTAAAATACCAAACGTAAAAGGGGAGGAGAAAAGAGAGTTATTATTAGAAATATGGTTAGTAGCACCATAGTTGAGTACCCAAAGGCTAAGAGAAGTGGAGTGAGAGAAACCAGCAAACAAAGGACCTATATTCTCAAAAAAAGTCATGGAACTAGAGGCCTATCGTTCCTCATACCATTTTAGGAAGTCATGGAAGATAGCTATTGATCCAAAACCATCAAATGAAGTGGGACTAGTATCAATGGGTAGAGATGGAAGAATTTGGGTATCAACAATAAATTGAGGAGGATGACCATGTAACATGTAATACCAGTCAAATTGTATGACCCAATTTGTGGAATGATCACACTTGGGATGACTATTGCCGGGTTTATAGGTGCAGTGATGGTCATCAGTCATCAGGTCAAGATACCAATGCGGATGAGGCACCAAAAGTGGTAGAAGAAGGTTTGTAAGGGGATAACTTGCACAACACGCAATAGGTTAAACAAGGCAAGATTCAAAGAAGGCACATTCATGGAATCCAAAATCTGGTAACGAACGGATGAATACTCGGTGGGAAAGCCCATAGAGTGCCATCAACATAAAGTTTTGTTTTTGAGTAGGAGCAGTAGGAGGGGACAGTGGTTTATTAAGGTCATATAGAAGACCTGAACTTTGCCCAAATTCTAGGGCATAAAGCCATCCAAGTGGCAAGGGTGATGATACTCAAGATTTTGGCAAATGCCACAGTGATGTTGAGTATTATTGATGTACAATAATTGGGCCTATTCCTAAACATCTTGCACATGTCTCATGAGTGTGGAATATTTGCCTCAAAGTGGGATGGGTAGTGAACATTAGAATGTTGCAAACTTGGGCATCAATTTTGGACTTTTTCATTAATGGATGTCGCTGTTCAGGGAAGATGATTAACATAATCTTGTCCTTTCAACCAAAGCTTAATATTGAAGGCTCAAGTGTCATAATTATTGTCATCTATCTTGTCAATGGAGAGAGACATTGACATAATTAGTGAAAATAGGATAATTAGACCTAACAATAGTAGAAAACAGGCTCCAAACACAAAACCATGACTAAATTGGAGAAGAGGAGGGTGAGGCAAGCCTTGCGCTGATGAGAATGACCGGAGACATGGTTGGACGTGCCACCACACACATTGGCCAACAACGGGAGGGGAGAGACTATGTGCAGGCGTGATAGAGCTCGAATGACCACAAGTCTGGCAGCATTTGAGTAGTTCAGTCAGGGTGACTTTAGTTGTGTGGTGGTGGACGGTCTGAATTACAATGGTGGTAGGTGGTGGCAGTCGCAGAAAAAGGAGAAAAATGGACCAAAAGAAAAGTGCTGACAAAGGGGAAAAGACTGATGTCATGCCTAAATTGTGGGATCAGTGTACCAAGGTCTTTAGAAGACCATCTTTTGATACACAGTGAATGGGGAGATTATGTAGGCATATTATTTTAACTATACATAAATAGATAATATTCTGTTTCCTCTGATTTTAGTAATATGAAAAAATGTTAATTTATTTTCATTTTGTTTCCTGTTATGAGGATTTGTATGAAAAATGGTGAAATTAGCGAAGTAAAACATGTTACCATTTTTGTATTTATTATAGAAAAAAAAAAACTTACATAAACCACAGGCACCCTTGATTGGCCAGTGGGAAATTTCCATGCTGGGATTCAAGTGGTTTGCTGCTTTTCATTTCGGTGCATGTTTTCAGTTTGAGTTGCCATATGGTAAGGCTCATCTGCATGTCTTGAATAATATTTGTTGGCCAGGTTATCTTCAATTCTTAATATTGTGAAGATAATAAAATTTCGATTAGTTATTTTGATGTGTTCTACTATTGGTTACTAACTCGGCTGTTCTGTATTGAGTTTATTGAACTACATAGCACTTGCTTCCTGATAGTATTTTCATAGGTTGCTTTGATTACTTTTGCCTACTCAGGAAGTAAATTTGAGCTAGTTGTGATAAATGATTTCGTTCTGCACCTCGGTGTCCAAAATTTTGTAAACACAAGTTATTTACAGTTTATATCAAGTAAAACCATTAACAAGATAACCTTTGATTTAGAGATCCAAAGTTGATGAGTATCATGAGCTTTCTATTCACATCATTTCATGAATCAAATTCAGGGCCATAGGGTTATCGATGAACGAGGGAATAAAATACTCGAGGATGAGCTTTTAGTCGAGGTTCCAGGCAGTGCCTATTCTTTAGCGGACAGCATATGAAGTAGAGATGCAGCATGGACGGAATTGCGAACAACTACAGAGAATTTCCAGCGTCAACCAATTACTTGTAAAGGAAAAAGTAAAATTTGGCAGGCAAATGATGACAACTCGCGCGTCAGTGCAGCTGGTTTTTCAACTGTACATCTCCTGGAAGAGATCGACCAATGGTAAGGAAGGATTACATACACCATAATCGCCTAATTTTTATTGCACAGCCTATCAATTAGGTTTTTTGTAGAATTTCTTTCAAACAGATGTGGTGTTGTATAGTCGAAAGGCATGCAGCTTATTAAGCTTAAGACATAAATAATTTTGGCAGTGCAATGATTGCGTCATCCATTTGTATCCCATCACTTATTATGGCCTGGAAAGATGTTCCTACCAATTATTATGTTAGAGCCGTTGTATTGTATAATAATATAAGGCAATGGTTGTTGGATTGACTACAAGAACTTGTTTTTTTCATGGTTCTTGTCTGGATGAAATATTGGCATGTTTGGTTTAACATAATGATATTTTTTAACGTATAATAAATCTTAATAATATCATGTTATTTTTACTTTATTGTAGTTTTAAAGGCAATGATAAAATAATATATATGCATGCGCGTGTCATTCAAGTTCAATGAGATAGAAGTTTTTACTTTCTTTTACATTAGATAAATATAATCTTTTAAATTCAAAAACTTTTGTTTACCTTGAAACAGAAGTACGACTTTTCACTCTTAATTTCTTATTGATTATATATATAATATTTATTGTATAACAATTTTACATCATCATTCACTTATAAGTTATTATATGAATAATTTGTGATTGTACGAGAATATAAAACTATTTTACATGCATAACTTTTACTAATGTTTATTTACATTCGAATGAGAAAAAAGTTTATGATACAGAAGTTATTTGTATATAAAATTAAGTATGGCAATATTGGTTTTACTGGATTAAGTTTCTATCTAATATTAAAAGAAGTAAACCAATCTAATCAATCATAATTTTATACCAAATTTCTCTGTGAGTGACATTTGATTTAAGAGAAACCCCACAGAATAACGTTCTTGGTGGCATCAAAAGCAAGGAAGAAAACCACTCTTGTTATGCCGAATACGGTTCTCTATTCTACCAAGTTAAGCTTTTTCCTCAAGCCATGTTTGCCTTCTTATAGTATTACCCAAACAAACGGTGCATTAAATTCATTTTTGCACGACTCTTACCCACAAACGTAACTATTTTCCTTTACCATTAAAGTAAGAGTGATTTCTACACACTAACCTATTTCTACATCTCTTGCTTCCACATTTATTGTACGAGTGAGGTAATCTTACTGTGTTTAATATTCACACAATTATATTCTAATTTTCAAATTCAAAATTACTACTTAAATTGAATAACCATGTATTAATTAGATTCCATCTTATTTGTTTCAAGTACTGCGCATGTTTTATATCAAACTTTGATTATCAAAATATATTAAACGAATACAATATCCTCCCTCATTGGCGATGATTAGATAAATAAATAGCTGAAAGAATATTTGTAAATCCTTCTATGTATTTTCTTTCTCCAAACATACTCTTTAATCGAAAGAAAAAATATTGATTATTTTTCAGGATAAAAATAACTACAAAAGATAATTTCTGACAAAAGGGCATAATCTGGCAATAGCATACAAAGATGAACACTCATCTGCACACCGATTGTCTTTTCTGCAGACATCATGGAAGGAGACAAACATTCCAAATTTGTTGACATAGCTTTGAATTCGACTGATAATGGACCTATAGGTGATCAATGCAATAATGGTTTATTAATTATGAATACATTTAAGTCTATAATTTTATTACACTTTTTTTTTATATATATATATCTTATATTATAAAACAAATAAAGTTTAAGATAAAAAATTATTCTCAAAATTAAAGTTATTATTAAAAATATATTAAATCAGTATAAGTAAATAATATTTAAAATAATAAAATATTGATAATTAATAATTAAAACGAAAACATTACATCTAAAAAAAATTATATTTATTTGACACACAGACAAGTGACTTAATAAATTAAACAAAAAATAGTTACTGGTACATAGTCGTGATTTTGTATAGTTTAAATATATATTAATTCATTTCATATGTTGGAACCTTAAAAATATATATATATATATATATATATATATATATATTAATAATTACATAATTACATACATATATAAAATTATTTTAAATAATAAATAATATTTTTTTTAGTGAATAAATATATAATAATATTGTTTTTAATAATATTATTTTCTAAACTAATAATTAATAGTTACTTTTTGTTGTTATAGTTTATTATCATGACCTATTTTTCAATTCAGAGTTCAATTAATCATAAGAAAATTAGCATGGGATATTTGAATTCCAGGTATTTGAGGATGGGTGAGTTCGGATTTAATAGGTTTACTCTATCAATTATTGAAAACAACGCAATAGAATAAGAAAACAAAAAAATATTTGGGAAAGAAAATCGCTTTAAATAAAAACTTCTAAATCCATGTTTATAATAGAAAATAATATACATATAAAAAAATATTTTTTATATTATTAATCAATCATCATTAGTCATAAACGACAATTTATTAACTTTTATTATAGTTAATTTAAAATTCATCCTCAATAAGTTTATTTACTAGTTGTCAATTTAAGTTTTTTACACCATCACCGTCTTTGCTTAATTTTTAAACTGGAAAATTCATGCTTAAAAATAAGATTACATTAAGTAATAAAATAAAGTCATAGTAAAATATTTATATTTTATAAGTATTACGTTAATTGAAAATACTTTTTACTTACTTAATTAAAAATATTTAACCTTTTGAAATATTTCACAAATTATACCACAAATACCAAATAAAATTAATAACGTATATTTATTAACACTGACTTATATACAGTATTCTCCTCGTCATGGAAAATGTGTAGTATTTAGTAATTATTATTTTTGTTTGTTTTAGAAAACAAAAATATTTAGTGAATTATAATTTTATTTTTCAATAAATTTTCTCATTGTTTTTTTTTACTTCATAATCATCTAAACAACACACTTGTTTAGATAATGTACTAATTAATATTTATTTATTTAATATTTTAAAATATGATATTCAATTTTTAAAATTTTAATAAATTATTTGATAATTGTTTACTAAAAAAAATTTAAAGATAATTTTTAACATATAGTTTTTAGAAATTAAAACATTAAAATTGATAAAATATTTTACTTTTAATTTTATGTTTTCATTGATAATATTCATCTTTTTGAATTTTATGTTCTCATTGATAATGTTCCCCTTTTTCAAAATTAATCTAAAAAATTTTAAAAATTAAGAAACACAATTTTCCGTGTATGATTGTAGTTAATGTTAAGCCCTTTTTTTCTTATTTCATGTATAAATTGCAATTAGATTCTACAAACACAAGGCGAACAACTTAGGAAAGAAGTGAACGTGTTATGCTTTCAACTTTGAAATACAAAGGACCCACGATTTCTATTGGATTATTAATTTTTGATTAATATGGTGGGTGCCTCTGAGCATCAGACACAAACCTCAGCCTACCGACACTGAAACCAAGGAAAAGAAAAGCACCTTTTTCGCCCATTATTTACCCTGTGAGACTCATCAATGGCGAAGGAGACCTCGAGTTGACACCCCCAATTTCCAAAGTTTGCTTCTTTCTCTGCGTCTTCTTCTTGTTTTTCATTTTTCTCTTCTGGGTTCCTCTTCTTCTTGTCAAGTGTTTTTAGTTCATACATCCGCATTTTGCATCAACAAGTCATGGCAAGTCAATACCCACTTCATTTCACTCCTTTTCAAGATTTTAAATTACTGTGGAAGTTTTGTCGTGATCTTCAATATTGTGAAAAGTCACAGACAAATGTGATAGATGCAGTCAGTAATAATTTTTTAAAATCTTGATTCCGTGGCTGAAATCGCGGCCACTGACAATTTTTTAAAACCTTGCACCTCCTTATTTAATACTATGATCTCATAATTAGTTGATGTTTCTTTCATTCAGATCTTGATCTCTCTATATAAAATATATCTGTGTGGTTAGGCTTTCGGTTTCTCTATCCCTGATTGACCTCGGTAATTGATTTTTTTTTTTTTTAATTAACGTGTGATTTTGATCATGATAGGAATTCTGACTTTGAAAGTTATTTCTGTAATCTGCCAAATTTTGAGAAGCGGTTCTCAATTTTTTAGTTACCTTTCGCTACAGTAAGTTGTTTTGGACACTGTTGATTATGATAGGGACACTCCATGATAGGACACCATTGTTACTCTTCACTGTTACCATCAGCTGACTAGTTCTAACTTATGTTTTGAAACTATCAATTTGGGGGATCATAATATTCACTTCATTTTTTGTAAATAATAATGAGCATTATTACTTTCCATTTCGGGAAATTAGACAATCATAGTATTTATTCCCCTTGTAGTCTTCTGGTTTCCACTTAACAATTTAACCACGAGCAATCATTAGCTAGTTGATTTGCAATTATGTAGCTTCAGAAGATCGGTAAGTAAATTTCTTTATATCCTTTCTGCTGCAGTTGATTTGGATTAGTTGTGTTGGACTTGGATGCCACTGCTCGTACAGTTGATCCACTAATGAGATTCCACCTTGCATTGTTTCTCGTGTTGGCTTCTCTTCAAGCCACTTTAAGTCAAGATATTGAACATGGTTCACTTCTAGTAGATGGAGCTCAAACAAAAGCTGAAACAGGTGATAATTTTATTTGTGCCACTATTGATTGGTGGCCTCATGACAAGTGTGACTACAACCATTGCCCTTGGGGATATTCATCTGTTGTAAATTTGGTGAGTATTTTGAAATACATTTAAGAAATGAAATGAAACATTGTTGACAATTATCATCACCTTCCACTCCCAACTCTCCTATTTTGAACCATGGAAAGCAATCAAGCTGTTTTATTCATTGTTCGCTTCAATGTGGATTGATTTTTCAGGACTTGTCTCATCCTTTCCTTGCCAAGGCCATCCAAGGTGTGTGCATATTGCATTACTGCTATATGATCTAGAAAGTCAGTTAGTTTAATGGCATTCTATTGTTTAGTGACTGCATAACGTTACAATGTATTTTATGAATATCTTTAACTTCAGAGTAATTCTGCTAAGCATGATGTTGTTCTTTTCATAATGGTTGCATGATAGCCCTCAAGCCACTGAGAATAAGACTTGGAGGTTCTTTGCAAGACCAGGTTCTATATGATGTAGGAAGTTTGAAGTCTCCTTGCCATCCCTTGCAAAAGGTTAAAGGTGGATTGTTTGGATTTTCAAAGGGATGCTTACACATGAAAAGGTGGGATGGGCTGAATCAGTTTTTCAATGAGACAGGGTGAGAAATTTAACATTGAGACTTACGGTTATCTTCACCTCCTCCCTTGTTCCCTGCTTTGTTAATGTTTTGTCGCAAGAATATATGCTGGTGGATTTCCCTTCATTGGTAATTGAGACTCATTATTGGCATTCTTAGTTATTTCCTTAGACTTGATTTGGAATGACTCTTCCAACTTAGTTTCTTGCATGGGAGTTATTTTACCACTCTTGATAAAAAAACCATGCAAATAAAAGCATATGATTTCACCTGATAATCACACATTCTAGGCACTTTATTTATTTTAGTTATTGAAGCTTCTATTTTCCATTTTTATTAGGGTTAGTAATAATTTTTTGTAATGGTGAATATATGAGATATTAGTCTATGGTCTACAGGGCATTCCTGTTATGTCACTTAGTGTAAATAAATTAAGAAATGGAATTTGAATGTCAGTACGTGCATGATTAAATATACTAAGTCTTCATATTCATTATGTAAGAATATGGTAAAGGGAAAGAATAAAGGTATGAGGGAGGAGTGGTTAGTTGTGATGCATTTGACTGGAATTTGGCACTTGCAGGGCTATTGTGACATTTGGCTTGAATGCACTCCATGGGAAGCATCAGATTAGTCATAATGTTTGGGAAGGAGACTGGGACCCCACAAATGCTTATGATTTTATTAAGTACACTATTTCAAAGGGATACAAGATTGATTCATGGGAACTTGGTAGGACTATATATAACAAGTGACTGGGTTATTGTTAATTTTATTTTTTGTTTGATTTAACCTTATTCTTGAATCTGCTGCTGTAGGGAATGAGTTGAGTGGTAAGGGAATTGGTGCAAGTGTTGATGTTGCACAGTATGGGAAAGATTTGATAAAGCTTAAGCAAATTCTAGGAACATTATACGAAAATTCCAAGTTCAAGCCTTCACTTGTGGCACCTGGAGGATTTTATGAAAGAGAGTGGTATGACAAGCTTCTTCAGGTTTCGGGTTCTGGCATAATCAATGTTCTGACTCATCATTTATACAATTTGGGCGCAGGTTTGACTGTCACTTAATTTTTTGTACTATAGGCTTTCTTACCAAATGTTTAATAATCAGAAATATCTAAGACAATCCTTCCTTTGCTTTTGTTTCTTATTTCTTGTGGGTAGTAGTAATACACTGGTTACAATCAGTCAAGGAAATAAGTCATGTTCATTGCTTTTCTTTCATGACAACATAGATAATGGGTCTGTTGGGACAACTTCTCCATAAACACTTTTAGAAGAAAAAAACTAGAAAAAATGAAATAAGTTTCTCCATAAGCTAACATTATCTTCTCCATAAACTAATATTGGCTTATGCAGAAACTTATTACATTTTTTGTTGTTATTTTTCTCTCCTTGAAGTGCTTATGGAGAAATTTGTTCAAACAAGCGCATTTTGATTTTCGTATTTGTTTATTATATATAACAACTTCAAAAGAAAATGCTGCAACTTTGAAAAACTAAATAATTGCAAGAGTTTGCTTAAATAGAGTATGAACGGCCTCTTTTGACAAAACTCATTATCTAGAGAGCTAATATATGAAGGTTGAATGTGGAGACACGTCTTAGCCTTCCATCTCCTTGATTATCTTCAAAGCTACCGAAAGATTTTTATGCTAATATGAATGGTAACACGAAATTGTGCTATGCAGAACTTTCCGTTCATAGATTTCAATACACTCAGTATTTCTGTTTAATTTATTTGTCTCATAAATGCTAGAGACATGGAGTGGCAATTGACAAATTTATTTCAACACTTAACCATATCTGCTTATCTTGTTCCAAAGATGATATAGTTTGTTTATTTTTTGGAAAATACTATTGTTTGTCATTCATGATTAGTTTCTAGGTTGATTTCTCTCAGGTAGTGATGAGCATCTTGAAAGAAAGATTCTAGATCCTGAACGCTTAAGTAAGGTGGAATCAATTTTTGGCAACCTTTCTGAGACCATTCAAAAATATGGTCCTTGGACTTCTGCATGGGTAGGAGAAGCTGGTGGGGCATACAACAGCGGTGGCAATCATGTTTCTAATACTTTTCTTAACAGCTTTTGGTAGGTGATATTGGTTGTCCATTGCTTCCATCATTTTCAGTTCCTCTTTTTCATATCTAAAGCACTGATTATGATATTATATTTAGCAAAAACAATTACCTGTGATGTGATTTATTGTAATTTTTGAAATTGAAATGACTTAGGTACCTAGATCAACTTGGAATAGCATCCAACTACAACACTAAAGTCTATTGCAGGCAAACTATAATTGGAGGGAACTATGGACTTCTCAATACTACCACCTTCACTCCCAATCCTGACTACTACAGGCAAGTACAAATAGAATTTTGCAAAAAATCAAAAAAGAAATACTCTTTTTTTCTCCTGAAGGATATGTGAAGTTTTTTGGTATCATGTTTGAACATATCTAATTCTAGTTTCTGGTTTTGTTTCTAAACAGTGCACTTCTGTGGCATCGATTAATGGGCAAAAAGGTTCTTGCAGTTTCAAGTGATGTTTCTCCCTTTTTACGCACTTATGCCCATTGTTCAAAAGACAGAGTAAGTTCCCTAATTTAGGTCAACATGGATAGCTATTGAGTCACAATAATATATGTTTATAACAAAAATTGAATTTTATCCCAGCCACCCAATAAAATCCTTGATTCCTTGATTTTGATGGTTTATTATATGCAATATTGTTGTTAATGAATTAGTGAAAAATTCGTGTAGCGGTGTGACTCTGCCACACTTATAGGCTAGAGATTCTTTTTATGTAAGTGAAATTTGGTAGAACTTGAGCTTTATATTATATGACTTAACATTTCATAAGGCATCTGAAGGATATGTTCTGATTCATTCAGTATTTGTTTTTAGAATCATTCTAGTTCTTATAAAATTCATTCTACAGGATGGTGTGACGTTACTTCTAATCAACTTAAGTAATGAGACCCGTTTTATTCTCACTGTTCGAAACCCTGTGAGCGCAAGTATTGAAAATGAAGTGGCCACAAACATCCAAAAGGAAAACACATTCTTTGATAAACTGAAGAAGGCATTTTCTTGGGTAGGAACAAAAGGGTCAGAGGTCACATTTAGGGAAGAGTACCACTTAACTCCAAAAGATGATTACCTCAAAAGCCAAACCATGGTGCTTAATGGTATTCCACTGGAGTTAACAGACCAGGGAGATCTTCCAAGGTTGGATCCAGTGAGTAGTAATGTGCGATCTCCAATATACATGACTCCTTTGTCCATTGCATTTGTTGTATACCCCAACTTTGATGCTCCAGCTTGTGCTACTCGGCGAAAATTTTAGTTGAAGGTTTCTATAGCAAAAAACTAGGCACTAGAACTAATGCAATTGCAAGCTCATGGTAATTGTAAGTAGTGAGCTATTATTGTCTGCAAGAAAGTTACAACCTTTGCAATGATTTCCTATTGAAGGAACATGCAAGTTGTGTCATCTAGTTGAGGGTAAATTGTTTGATCAAATTTAGTTTCAAATTTTTGCATGTGGGGTTAAGCGTTTTATTCAAGATTGTGTGTATAAAAAAAAATATTGAGAGAATTCACCTCTTACATTGTAATGAATGGAGATTGAGTTAAATGTATTTTTGGTCTTTAAAAATGTCATGATTATTTTAGTCTCGAGAACTAAAAGTTTGTATATTGCTACTAAAATAATTTATTTTTAGAGATTAAAAATGAATAAAATTTAATAACGAGTATGTGTTTGGTTTCAAGGTTTAAAGACTTTCAAAGAATTTCAGTGGAAAAGTACGTTTATAATTGGATTAGATTAAACAAATGTTTGAACTTTTTTCCATCCCTTTCTCCTACCTCCTTTCTATACAAATCTCCTATTCTTTGTTGAAATAAAATTTGACAAGGAAATGTAGGAAAGATGTGCTTAAAAAAGATGCAAGAAGAAAGTCCCTTCACTTTCTACTCGTATTTATTTAAAAAGATAATATTATCTTTGTTAATTTTATAAAACTAGTGATCTGGACGAATATTCTGAAATATTTTAGATTAAAAAATCCAAAAAACTTTCAAATAAACGGATCTAGAAACATATTTTTTTTTAGTTATGAATTATAAAATTTAAAACATAATTTTATCATTCCAGAATGGTCAATGCAAACATTTTCTAGAAAGTTGAATCCAAAAATAATTCTTTCACTGTTATAATTTAAGTTGTGGATTATAAAATTCAGAACATAAGTTCGCTCTTCTGAAAAAGTCAATCGATAATACTTTTAAAAATTTAATTTTGAAATTTTTTTTAAAAATCAATTCAAAAAATAGAAAATTGTCGAAAAAGTTAATCCATAACTTATTTTACCACATAGACAAACATAGTTGATGAATATGGTAGTACGAATATGGGGTGTAGGAAGCAACAATACTTGAAGTTTCAAACATGATTATGTACATGGGCCCAGTAGATCACAAGTCCAGTATAACGTAGAATATAAAAGCCCAAAACCCAACACAAAGTTGGTCTCTACAGCTAGACTGAAAAGGTGTGATGTTAACTTTTCTTTTAAGATGGTACATTAGCATGTTTACTATGGCTTAAATTTCAATTTCGGAAATTTATCTCAATAAGTTAACAAAAAAAAAAAACTATTATTTCTCTATAATAACCCGAATCAAACATTCAAATGGAATACATAAAATAGAATTTATTTGAATCCTTTGGAATGACTAAACCACTGATAAAGATAATGCCAAGTCTGGTACATACATCTTCCTAGTAACATTGGATCCCACTAGACCTGATATGTTCTTGATTGATTCATAGGGATTCATTGTTTTTTTATACGTTTGAAATAAAAAACAACTCTCTGTATATACTTGAAAGGGAGAGGCACACATTTAATTTGTTATTCTTAAGGACTGTTATTATTCTTATTCGTTTCATTAGTCTCTATTTGACATTATAGGTGTATATTGGATTCCTTCCATCTCATGCTATGTTTAATTTATTCTTTCTTCTATTCTTATTTGCTATTTCTTTTTCATGGTATTTAAAAAAAATTAAGTGATCGAATCTAGTTGTAATATTTTAAACAGACACAATATTTTACTTTATGATAATGAGTAACTAAACAAGTCAATATTAATATCAAATCCTTTTAATACTAACTAAAAAAATTTAAGTTATTTTCAAAATATATTTAGCAAAATGTTCATGCTCCTCCTAGAGCTTATGTCTATTTATTAGACATAATAATAGAGTCAGGTGGGGATAAGGGATGATTTTACAAACTTTTGTCAAAATTTTTAAAATGTTTTTCTCTAGAATTAAAGTCGATTTACTAAAAATTTGAAAAAAAGGATATTCTAAAAATGTCACTTAATCCCTATCATAAGAATTCATATTTATTTACTATAAATTTTAATATTAGTAAACTAGAGTTGAGGTTTTACAACTCTCTTATAACGAGAAAACAAATAAGAGATAACTTAAACATCTACTTGCAATTGCAAGTAAAAAGAGGTTAACATAATCCCTCATGGATGAACAAAGGAAGAGTAGGAATCACGATGTTGATTATTGAATCATAAATAATCTCAAATCAATCAATGAATACTACACACTATATTTCAGAGACAAATTTTTCACAAGATTGTACATACTATATTTGAAACCAGTATCCTGGGAAATTGGAAGCTCCTTTAATTGAAAATTACATAGTAAAAATTAGTATCAATCTGATGATATACACCCCACCCCTATTTCCCAAGCAAACGACGACCACGTTGATTAGCACCATTCACACGGATGGTCAACTTCTCCATGTCATTGTCGAAACCATCCAAGGCATCCTTTTGCCTGCAACATTTCCAAAATCAGTATAAATTATGACATCTTGAAATAAGTGAAACGGTTCTGAATAATTATTAACTAGTAGTAATGCCTGAGCAAACACTGATGTCAATTAGTTAAACTATTTACTTTTGGAAAAGATTTAAGTTAGTCATTATTAAAGAATCTCTGTAAGGTATAATTAGAGAGAGCATAGAATCCAATAAACTCACTTGTCAAGTTCAGATCCCATGTCAATGGCCATGTCTTTCAGTTCTCCCAAGAGATCACTTAAATCTGACAGTCCATCATCTTGCTTACCCTTTTCAAACTGTTTCATGACATTCTAGTCAGTAGCTGAATTCAATGCTAAGAAAATATACTACAATATTGTACTAGGTAGAGTAGAAAGTCACAAAACAAAAATTAGTCTCCGGGGACTAATATTGCCATAGAATAAGATGGTTTACAAGCAGAAAGGGGAGGATAATTGCAAAATTGTCAGTGATTCGAAATTACATGGTTGGCTCAACTCTAGTGATATGGTGGTCATTAACGACAAGCAGAAGCAGAACAATACTACCAAAACACATTCAGATAGTAAGAAAATGAAGCTTTGTCATGTTCAGCACTTAAAACGACTTTAAAACAACAGTTAAATCTTCACTATATCAATACAAACCTCAACTTTTTCAAGTGCATTTGTTGACTCAGGAAGTGTTGCCCGTGACTTCGACTGTCCTTTAGGGGCAGAACTCAATCCTAACTTCTCTCTTTGCTCCAAGTGGTTGCCCTTTCTTCTCACAGGATCCCCTATTTTTGAAACACAACTAATACAATTATCATACAACCCTAATCAGTTTAAATTAAAAAGATTAATGGAGAGAAAATACTAACCTCCAAAAACAACTGGCCCGGTTATGGCGCCTGTCTTCTTTGGTTTCCATGTTTTAGAAAACATGCCGCCAAGACTTCCCAAAAGCTTTTCTCCCTGTAAACACAGCAGCAAAAACAGTCAAAATAGAAGTCCAGAATACCAATTGAAGCAGCAACAATTTTTTTATGAAGAAGCTGGCCATGTATAACTGAGGAATAACACGATTGATACCCGACTCAGATCATGATCAATATCAGCAGCAACATGGTGGCTCCTTGTAATCTGCTCCCCCTGTTGGTGCAGCATCACCAGAGTTTTGGTAGCATCCTCTCTCATTTCCTCAGCTATCTTCAAACAACCGTTCACTGATTTTGTGGTCTCTTCAGCCTTGTAAGCAGCATAGTTCTCCAATTCCTGCACAGATTGACTCTCCAACCCTCCGGAGTCGCGGAAATCGTTCTTATACCTATTCCGATGGGCAGACGAAAGGCCATAGGAAGATGATGAAGAGTGACTCCTGACCTCAACATCATCATCAAAGGGGTTGGTGTTGGTTAAAGTCTTGTTAGAGGCATTATGTTTTTTATCTTTTGACTCTTCATCAGAATCAAAGGGGTTACGGACAGGACCAACAGAGCTAGGTTTAGCCTCTCTCAAAGGAGTTCTCTTTGAACCAAACATCCTCTCTCTTTGCCTCTCTCCTAAAGAAAAACTGATCTTCTGTATCAATTTTATCCTGAAAAACAAACAAGCAAAAAATCACAAAGATCAAAATCAAGTTCTATAGCATGAACCCTCCACTCAAAATTGAATTTTGAAATTAAGATGAATCCAAAATCATAGCAATTAAGCTGAAATTATCCAAAATTACAGTTAAACCGGACGGAGAATCACAAAATTGAAAGTGAAAGATAGATAACAAAGTTAAAAAGAATGGCCAAAACAAAACATAGTGGTAGAAAGAGAAAGGAAGAGAGGTAGGTACCTGCAAAAGAAAATGTAATCAGACGAAGGAAGTGAAGGCAACGAATTAAAGGTTAAGAGGGTTGGATAGTTTCAACGCGGAAGCTTTGCAAAATCGCGTTGAAAAATCACTGTGGGGATTGCTCAGCGCTGATGAATGCGCTTGTTTGAATTAATATTTTATTATTATTGCATTATATTAATGTTATCAACGAATAGTTGTCAATTTTTTTTTATAGTAAGTTGTTTTCTATATATATTGATATTAAACATATATAAATTAAACATTATTTTTGTGGACGTAAATTTTATTGCTTAAATTAAAATATTACTTTGTTATTTAGAATCTCATGTGAATAAGTTATTATTACAATCATTATTAAAAAACAAATAATTTATATTATCATCTAATTATAATTCATTACTTTATTGATTTTTATAATCTTAAAAATATTAAAAATGACTTAATTCATTGAAAGTGAGAAAAGTTCTATTGAAGGAAGGTGATAATTATTTTTTTTCATTCGTTCTTTTATTAATTAAAGAAAGAATCCTTTAGATATATTTATTGAAAATAAAAAATAATAATATTGGAAAAAATAAAATTACTAAATTTATTATCAAAACTTATTTCGTAGTTTATTAAGTAAAATGATTTAGAAATAAATTAGTACATAACTATTGAAATATTGCTTGATCGATTTGTATGACAATGACATCAATAAAAAAAAGACTTAACTTCATTTTTTTTGTCGTATCGAGTTTTTCAACATTGTAGAAATATTTAATTTCAAACATGGTTCAGTCAATTTTCCCCGTTTGAATTAATCTACCATGGACCTTTTAAGAGGTAAGTGGGGGTGGATGCCATCTTGGACCAAAAACTGTAGATAGTTTCCTTATCTTTGTTAATAATAAATTTGCCTAAAATTAACGTCACATGTTTATATTTTGGAATTATTTTTTCCCACTTAATGCATATAGTTGTAATTTTGTTATTAAAATTTTACACTTTTGCCAAAATAAAAAGTTACTTTTTTTATTTTTCAACATTCCTTTTCTAACATGGGGTTGTATTTTAAAGAATAGAATGTAAATATACTCACGTCTATCTTTCGACAGTCGCGTATTTGTCGTAAATTTTGATGCTGTCTTTTTCACGTTCAAAGTATATGCGCAGATATATCACAGGTTAAATAGGAATACTGGAACGGTTACAGTGCATCCTGTGATGTGCTACCTTTTCTTGCAGAGACACCTTTGCTAACCCTTGATACAAATTATATGTCATATAGATAGATAATTGCTACTCCCTCACAAGAAACAAATTGTTGAGTCGATGTTGAACGTCAACCATTCCATGCTTGATGTATTTGTAAGCATGATTACCAAGAAAATCCTGGAACCTTGAAATGAAGTTTCCATATGCTGGCAACAAGACGTTTCCTATGGATTTTATAATGTGTTTCCTTAACTCCTCATTCAAGACAAACCACGTAGCTTGAAAGTTGCATATATCATCAAAGTGTTCATTGAAGGAAAGGAGCTTGTTTTTCATCAACTCCACCGCAACATTAGGCTCTGCCTCATTGATGTCCAACTTCAAAATGTCCGCAATCTTATTCCACGAACTTCTTCGATAGAGTTCAAGTTTTTGTTGGAATTCTGTTGTGTTTTTGTGGAGCCAATCAAGGCCAAAAATAGGTTTCAATCCATACCGTTTTGAATTCAGCTGTATGAACCTCCTATTGTTGATGATGAAAAGATAACCAAAAGTAGAGTCATTGTAACTTCTGGAGATAGCTTCCAAACTTGTATCTAAAAGGTCTGTTATCATTGCTATCAGCACATACTGTGGCAACTTCTCATCTTTCAAACTCCGACGAATCATCCGAATGTGGTCCAACACAGCAAAGGTATGTAAGACATTATGTAATTTTCCTACGTTATTAATTCATTATAGAAAACTACTCTACAGGATCTTTAGATTATTGATTTTCACATTTGCATACATCAATATATACATGAATCTAGTAAGAGAACTAACCTTGATCCATGAGAATCTTTTCTTGATCTTTTCGTTCTCCAATCTCCTTTTCCCAATCTATCTCTTTGCCTTTCTTTCTCTTCTCACGCTTTCTTGATGGTTTACCGTGAAAAGACCTTATGGCCGGAGACGTAACCCTAATTCCATTTTATTAACCAACGTCCATCGAGTTGGTTACTTTCAGTTAATATTTTATTTTATCTTTATTTTATTCTCGACTTCACATAATAACCAATAGGTCCTTATATATTTATTAAATCACATTTGGGCCCATTATTATATTTCACATGAGTCACATAATGGAATGAATTAATTAAATTAATTCTAACATTCTCCCACTTGACTCATGTGATATCATACGAATTCTGTGATTTAATACTTAAGTCATAATGCGCATTAAAAGACCTTACATAAATTGGTTCTATCATTATTCATAATTAAAGATACAAACTATAACAAGAGTCATGACTGTTACATGTCATTCAATCGACGAGCTCCCTTCCATGTACCACTATATTATCTCTTTCTCCTTAATATGACTTTATAATGAGAAGTCCATAATGGGTTCAAACATAATATCATTTTAATAATAATAACATAATTTGTTTTCTTCATCATAATTTGCATGCATATAAATAAAGAAGAAAACACAAAATTCGAAACTTATACATTAAAGATCTCGGAGTGTCACATAAGCATTAATAATAACATTAACATTCAACATTCACTAGTGAACATAATGCCCACATTCATTATATGGCCAACAAATAATTTGGGCGATAATCCCTTTGTTAAAGGATCAACAATCATAAGATCATGCTAGTATGTTCTATCGACACTATACGTTTCGAACTTCTTCTTTAACTGCAAAGTATTTCAATTCCATATGTTTAAGCACCTTTGGAATACTTGTCGTTCTTAGAAAAGAAGACTCAGCATGGAATTGTCACAATAAATTTTCAGCGGCTTGGCAATGTCGTCGACTACTCCAAGTCCTGAAATAAAATTCCACAACCAATTAGCTTGAACCGTGGCCTCAAAGCATGCCACAAATTCAGCCTTCCATGGTGGATGCAAGAATGACAGATCGCTTCGCACTTTTCCATGAAATCACTCCTCCAGTTAAAAGATATACATAACCAAATGTGGACTTTCGTGTATCCATACAACCAAAGAAAATCGAATCAGATATCCAATCACCTTAAGGTGATCAACTTTCCTATAAGTAAGCATGTGATTCTTTGTTCCTTGTAAGTATCTTAAAACTTTCTTTGCAGCCTTCCAATGATCCAATCCAGGATTACTCTGGTATCTACCAAGCATACCAACCGCAAAACTAATATCCGGCCTCGTACATGTTTCGAGCGTACATCGAACTCCCAACAACAGCATGCATAAGGGATATTTTCCATCTCGTTTCCGTTCCAAGTCATTCTTTGGACATTGCATGAGACTAAATTTGTCTCCTTTCAGTATTGGAACTGGAGATGCGAACAATTCTCCATTCCGAATCTCTCTAAAACTTTATTAATATATGCTTTCTCGAGACAAACCTAACATTCCTTAGTGATCTATCACTAATATTTCTATTCCTATCACATAGTATGCCTCACCCATATCTTTCATTTCAAAGTTGTTAGAGAGAAACTTCTTAGTCTCACTTAATAGACCAAGATCATTAGTCGCAAGCAAGATATCATCAACATACGTAATCGTAAATATAAACTTGCTCCCACTGACCTTCGGATATATACACCGATCAACAAGTGTTTTCCTTAAATCCAAAGGACAAAATAGTATCATTGAACTTAAGATACTATTGTCGAGAAGCTTGTTTAAGTTCATATATTGATTTCTTAAGTTTACACACCATATGTTCCTTTCCTTCTTTAATAAACCCCACTCGGTTGATTCATATAAACATCCTCCTCTAAATCTCCATTCAGAAAAGCAGCTTTAACATCCATTTGATGCAACTCAAGATCATAATGAGCTACTAATGCCATGATAATTCTAAAGGAATCTTTCTTAGAAACAGTGAAAATGTTTCCTTATAATCAATGTCGTCTTTCTCGAGTAAAACCTTTGGCAACAAGTCCGGCCTTGTAACGCTCGATATTGCCATGAGAGTCACGCTTAGTCTTAAAGACCCATTTACACCCAACACTCTTACATCCTTCCGGCAATTCCACAAGATCCCATACACCATTATGTGTCATTGATTTAAGCTCATCTTTCATAGCATCTAACCATTTATCGAATTATCATCATTAATGGCATCTGAAAATGAAACTGGTTCATTATCAATACTTAGGTCATTTTCTGACTCTTGTAGATAAACCACGTAATCATTCAAAATAGTAGACTTTCTTTCTCTGTGAGATCTTCTTAATACTATTTCCTGTGGTTGTTCTATTATCGGATCATTGTTTATCTCAGGATCATTAATTTGTTGTTCTTCTTGATTGTCGTGTGATTCTTCAACATTTGGAACAACAACTCTTGAAGATGTACTAGTTATTGGAACTTGTACTCTAACTTCCTTAATCTCCACATTTCGTGAAGCTTCACTCCCACTGGTTTCACCATTTTCAATGAACCGAGCATTTCCAGTTTCAACAATTCTTGTACTATGAGTAGGACAAGAAAACATATACCCCTTTGATTTTTCTCGGATAACCAATGAAATATCCACTGATTGTTCTTGCATCCAGCTTTCTTTTCTTGCGGATTATAAATTCTTACTTCGCTCGACAACCCCAAACATGTAGGTGTTTTAAACTCGGGTTTCCTACTTGTCCATAACTCAAAAGGAGTCTTTTGAACCGCTTTACTAGGAACCCTCGTTCAACAAATACATGGCAGTCTTCAAAGCATACATCCACAACGATACGGTAAACATGAATTACTCAACATACTCCTAACCATATCCATTAAGGTTCGACTACACCTTTCGGACACACCATTTTGTTGCAGTGTGCCTGGCATCGTGTATTGAGCACAAATACCACGCTTCTCGAGGAACTTAGCAAACGGACCAGTGGTGTTGTCCACTTTCATCATATCTTCCATAATACTCACCACCTCTATCCGACTCGACAATTTTCACCTTTCGTCTAATTGCCTCTCCACTTCGTTTATATAACTTTCTAAGGCATTTATCGCTTGAGATTTCTCATATAGTAAATAGACATATCCATAACGCGAGAAATCGTCAATGAAAGTGATGAAATACTTCTCTTTATTAAAAGAATTTACGCCAAATGGACCACATATATCAGCAGTGTATGATTTCAAGAAGTTGAGTGCTTCTTGTGGCTCCTTTCTTTGTGTGTTTTGTTTGTTTACCTTTAATACAATCCACAAATACATTCAGATCAGTAAAATCTAAATCCGAAGGATTTCATTCTTTACTAATCTTTGCATTCTTTCTTTGGAAATATGTCCCAAACGCTTATGCCACAAATAAGCAGATCTTTCATCCACCAAACTACGTTTAGTGCCAACATTATGATGCAAGGTCATGAGAGTTTCAAGATATAAATTATCCAAATTCAATTTATATAAATCATCATAAAGTGTACCAGCTCCAATCATACATGTATGCTTAAATAAACCGAAACAACTATTCCCAAACTTAAAAGAGTATCCAAGCAACATCAAGTTTAGACAAAGAAACTAAATTTCTAGTGATACTAGGTACATAAAAAGTATCCATAAGGTCTAAGTGATATCCAAGTGTCAAGGATTAAACGATAAGTCCCGACAGCCTTCCACTCGGAACCTTGACTTTATTTCCCATGAAGACGAACTTCTCATTTGGGTTTATGGTTCGAGTTGAAAGGAATCCTTGCATTACATTAGAAACATGAGTCGTACATCCAGAATCAATCCACCAAGTATTATGGGGAACTTCGGTTAAATTTGATTCAAAACATACGTAAGCACTATGCTCACCTTTCTTTTCGAACCAAGCTTTACGCTTTAAGCGATGCTTCCGAAAATGTCCAGACTTCCCGTGTAAATGACATTTGTCATTTTTCTTCCGAATGTTAGTAGAGGACTCGTTAATCTTTAATGGTCCTTTACCCTTTCCATGTTTCTTAACAACTTTCTTTTTAGTTCCTTGATTTTTCACGTAATGAATAGAGTGACTTCCTAGGTTCTTGAGTCCGGTCTCCTCCTCGAACTAACATACTGTGCAATTCATGCACATTCCATTTGTCTTTCATGGTGTTATAATTCATCCGAAACGGACCATACTCGAGCGGTAATCGAGTTCAAAATGAATTGCACAAGAAAATTTTCTTCCACTCGCCATTCCAAGAGACTTGAGTCTTGCTCGCGATATTTGTCATTTCGATTACGTGTTCATGCATACTACGAGAACCATCAAACTTCATGGTGGTCAACGTAATCATCAATGTCCTAGCGAGGGATTTGTCAGCAGTTTGAGAACGCTCTTTCACAAATTTCATAAATATTTTCACGTCCTTAGTTTTGGAAAAAGCATACTTAATATTGCTTGCAATACTCATTCGCATAAACATAAGACTAAGTCTATTTGAACTTTTCCAAACTCTATAATGAGTTTTCTCTTTGTTGCTACTAGCATTAGTGATAGCAACCGGTTTTTCAACTTAGAAAGCCAAATCAAAATCCAACTCACCTAAGTGAAATTGGACTTTCTTACTCCAGATCAGGGAATTTAATTTATTAAAGACTCGGAACAGTACGAAGTAAGCGAATGTAGAAATACATAAACAAATACTTCAATTAACACATGCCTAACATTAACGCTTTGAGTCATAAAAACTAAACATAAATACAGATTCAAACATAAATAACCATTCTATGCATACTAATGTTCTCCTTTGGGAGATCCACTAATACACAAACATAATTACGCTAATATTTTTATAACATTAATGATAATTAAAATATGCATCAACTAGAATCACCTAACACCTTTGGGTATATAAATAAAACTAGTGACGCACACAAAATTATCTACTTTCATGTTCATTAATTATAATAACAACTAATCAACCTTTGGGTGATCCTGAAATGCCTTATAATAAAGAACTTCAATTAACCCATAAATCATTATTCATAATTTTAGCATTCATACTATGGGTAATTGAAATAAAATCACTAATAATTTGAAATCAAAATAACCTTAAAATTTTGGCCACTTTGGTGACTAACAAAATTTATCATGCTTAATTTCAAATAAATAACATCTTTAATTGCTATTAACCATTCATAGCATTTATTTTTATTAATTTTAATAAATATGTACATTATTCACATAATAAAATATTATGTGCCATAAATAAAATTGAAACTCATAATTTCAATTTTCATCCTAAGATTGATTTTCAATCCAAGAACTTTATTTGCATTTCACGTAAAAGTGAAATTGTCATTCATTCAAAACTTTTATGAGTAATTTAAACACAATGGAAACAATATAATTCAGTTTGCAAAACAAAATTCATTCATTTATCAATGTTTACATTATAAGTACATTAACAAAGTTTTACAGAACATTAACAAAGTACCTTTAACAAAAAAGTACCCTTAACAAAGTACACTTGACAAAGCTTTACATTACCCTTAACAAAGCTTTAAGGTACCCTTAACAAAACTTTAAGGTACCCTTAACAAAACTTTAAGGTACCCTTAACAAAACTTTACAAGTACTCTTAACAAAGCTTTACATTACTCTTAACAAAGCTTTACATTACTTTACAAATACTCTTAACAAAGCTTTACATTACTCCTAACAAAGTTTTACATTACTTTACAAGTATATCATTCTTCCATCATAATTATAACATCCCATCATAACATCTCATCATAATTATAACATCTCATCATAATTATAACATACAATATACAATGAAACTAATTTCATACATGATTCATCCTAACCCTATCACGCCATTTGTCTTTTCAATTAAAATCAATTATGGGTTCATTCACGCATAGGGGCTATAAAATTGGTTTCAATTTGAACTTGAAAACATAATTAGGGTTTATTCCTTTATTTAATTTTGAGAAAAATAAAATTGGGAATAAATTAGGGTTCATACTAATCTGATAGAGAAATCCCTAAATTCATAATTAGGGTTAATCCCTAAATTCATAATTAGGGTTAATCTTAATTTGAGAAAAAACATAATTTGGGAAAAATTATCATAAGAGGAAAATCATAAATCTAAGAAACTAGCTCGATACCACATGTAAGACATTATGTAATTTTCCTACGTTATTAATTCATTATAGAAAACTACTCTACAGGATCTTTAGATTATTGATTTTCACATTTGCATACATCAATACATGAATCTAGTAAGAGAACTAACCTTGATCCATGAGAATCCTTTCTTGATCTTTTCGTTCTCCAATCTCCTTTTCCCAATCTATCTCTTTGCCTTTCTTTCTCTTCTCACGCTTCGCTTCTTGATGGTTTATCGTGAAAAGACCTTATGGCTAGCAGACAGAACCCTAATCCCTTTTATTAACCAACGTCCATCGAGTTGGTTACTTTCAGTTAATATTTTATTTTATCTTTATTTTATTCTGACTTCACATAATAACCAATAGGTCCTTATAATTATTAAATCACATTTGGGCCCATTATTTTATTTCACATGAGTCACATAATGGAATGAATTAATTAAATTAATTCTAACAAGGTAATCCAATGAATCCTGCTGCTGGGAACAATGGATTTCTCCTTAATACCATAATTAAGATGTAACAAGATCTCAATCTTGGACGAAGTTACCGTATCTTCTTCGGGTGATGAACGGGACACAGCCTGACGATGAACGAACGAATGAAAGACTCTTTCATAGAGCCTCCTTTCATTGGGTAATACTATCCTATTAGCTACCAACAGAGCTTTTATGGTATGTCGCATCTTTGCCACTTCGTTAATGTCCTCCATGTTGAGCTCTTTCAACGCGGACAGAATCTCATTCAGAAACTCCCTCCGACAAGTTCTGTACACGAGTAAACATGCATTCTCTAACCCTGCTGCCACCATCAGCCTTATGCTTTTACCAAGGTCGTTGATAACTCCAGAGGGCAACGAATCCAGCACCAAGTTGTCGTCCTGATGCAATTGCAGAAATTGAATATTATGGTCCGCAGTGACAAAATCAGCTCTACGGTATTCTTCCACATGCTTGAGTATAGTCAAGATAAGGTTCCCATTCTCCTTCTTAAGGGTCTCTATACAACCCATGAACTTTGCCACTATACTACTCTTATCAGTGTCACTGTTGTCTTGTTGTGGTTGACTGACTAGTAATCCTTGATCCTCGTTTTCTGGAGCAGAATCAACCTCTTGGGCCGTGGTAACATCAAGTTGGGGTGAATCCTCATGAGTAGTGCTAGGACTGGTTCTGGTTCCATGTGATTGCAAATGTGAAGCAACTTCAATGACTACATGATCTTGGTCTTGTATTCCACGATACCCACTTGTGGGAGCAACCAAAGTGGAACGAAGAATGATGAGGGAATAAGTGAAACACCCTCCAACGATCACTAACCATAGTTTGATTTTCATGAGTTGTACTGTTAGCACTCCACAGAAAAAGTATAACAGATCAACCTCAAATCCGAAGTGCTTCAATCTTGCCAAGGCTAAAGACATGATAGCAAAAGCAGCACATGAAACCAGGCTATATGCATCTGGTTTTCCTTTCACTTCTTTGTCGAAGAAAAAGGAGTAAATGGAAGTGATCATCAAAATAACAAAGGCCATGTGAGCTTCCAGGCGGGGAGAGGTGTAGCACTCCCCAGCCTTTGCAAATAACACGGCAAGACAGACAATGAAACTAAAAAGAATATAGACTAATATCTTCCACCAGGTCCAATTTCCATACAAATGATTGAAAGAAGAGCTGAGAGCATAGCAGAGCAATCCAACAATAGATGAAAAGAAACACACAAATCTCCATACCTTTGTCTTCTGCAGACAACTCTGAATTTTTATGAGGATGAGCTCCATCTTCTTTCTTTCTCAAGTAAGGGTGGCTTGCATTCTGGAACACAGGAGCTTATAGCCTCCAATTTTGACTTGGGAAAAACTCTCCACCTGGCCTGTGGATGTAAATTTCGAGGAAAGAGGATGGATAGCTACATTTTGAAACTATCTGTGGAGAAATTATTGTTTGAAGATTTTGCTTACAAGCTTGCTTTTAAGTTTACACCTTACACATTTGATTAGATCCAGAAGCTCTATTTTGTTTTTCAAGGCTTTCTCATACACACATTTGATTAGATCCAGAAGTTTACACCTTACACATTTGATAAGAATGTTGCTCTATTCTTGATCCTCTCTTACAATTTATAAATTCCAACAAATAAATACATTAAGATTTTTAACTTTGTACGAGGTAAATTTTAGTATTACACTGGATAAAAAAAAAAAAAAACTGTGGATATAAGAAATCTTTTAGCTAATGACCAATTATTTTACCTGGTATTAAATACTATTAAATTGACATCGAAAAAATAGAACGCAATATTGAAGGAATATAAGCAGAGCATGCATGGTGACTAATATCTTTGGATAGTTGGTCATGTGGCAAATTATAAGTAGCATCATTGCAACTGAAACATTTGCTTTTCTTGGTGACAAATAGGCTTGTTGGTTTGCAACTTTGTTTTCCTGTGAAGTTGATCACTGCGAAGTTGTCATTACTGTTCTGTGATAGTAATTTTCCCTATTTATTTGGGTCCATTTATGGTGATTAAAGTATGTTGTTATTTCCTTAGCTAATTCAATTTCTATTTGCTTGTGGTTTTTCCATATAAATTCTTGATCGATCTTGATCATTAAATGTTGTTGGTTAAATGTATGTTAATAAGAACCTTCTACATATTTGTAAATTAACTTTCATTGATTTTGATTACATTTAGTTGTTCACCTTCAAAGCATTAGAGTCATATGTCTTGTTTATTAGTTTTCTTTGTTACATCTTGATTACTTGGACACATTGTAAAGTAGGTAGTAATTATCCTTTCAATCTTCCAGTTGCTTCCACAACTCAACAATTCTTCAGTGGTTTCGTTTACAAATTCCAATTTGGTTCGATTTGATTAAATAACTCCAATATTAGGGATCAAATGTTCATTACATTGATTATTTTTCTTTTAATCATAAGAAGTGAAAGAAAAATTAATTTGGAATGGCGGAAAAAAAGTGAAAGAAAAACTGTGAAAAAGAAGCCAATTAAGGAAAATAAAATAAATATTTTCAAGTTATAAAGTTGAGACACAAAAATTACGGTTGGTTCTATGAGTTTTAAATTGATTCCATGCATTATCAGGAAAGAAAAAAAATCAAATTTCAAATTGTAAAAAAAAAAAAGATAAATCACGGAAAAAAAACAAAATCAAATAAAAATCCTAATCTTTAGGTAAACAAAACTTTTATTCTCCAGCGGAATAAGAACGTCGATAAGTCCACTCATACCAATAGCAAACAAGGAGTCAAAAACTTCATCCCCTTAAGAGGCAAATCAAAATTAGATACCCGGGAAGACAATCAATCTCCCAGTGGATCATAAAAAAGGAAAATCATTCCCAGTAAGCCTACAGCAAAGGCAAACTCCTGACTCACATCCTCAGAAGAGTCATTTGCCTATGTGTTGGCAAGACCTGACGAACAAAGAGCCAACATTCCCAGAATGGGATATCAGCCTATTAAGAGGCAAAGCAGCGCAAACACGAATCCTTCACCTCTATTGAAGCATCCGCCTACTCAGAGATAGCATAATAAAAAATTCCATTCCCTCAGCAAAATAAGAGTTTGACAAAGCCAACTCACATCAACATCAAACAAGGAGTCAAAACTTTATTCCCCAGAGGTGACCAAAATTAGATCCCCAAGAAGTCAACCAATTCCCTAGTAGATCGCCAAAAAGAAAAGAACATACCCCCAGTGAACCTACTGTAAAGGCAATCTTCAAATTCATATCCTCAGTGAGTCGTTCGCCTTGTTAGACAAATGACATCTAGATGGGGGTGAATAGATGCATAAATTAAAATAGATGTCAAATTAAAAATTTATTTGTGAGTCAATAATTTGTTTGAACACAGATAAAGCGGAAGCGATAATATGATCAGGAAAAGAGAAAGAGATAAGGGAAAGAGAAGAGCACACAAAGATTTATATTAGTTCGGGTATAGCCAACCCTACATCCAGTTCCCAGTCAACTCTTAACACAAGAGTGACTCCCCATTCACTATCTTTCAAATTCAGTTTACAAATTACAATCAACTCAGCAGAAGAACCAGTAAAAAGTAAACTAATTAAAAAGATAATCACCTCCTTAGAAACCCACTAAGGATGAACACCTCCCTAGAATCTCACTAGGGATGAACACCTCCTCTGAACAAATCAAAGGATGAAAACACCTCCTTAGAATCCCACTAAGGATGAACACCTCCCTAGAATCACACTAGGGATGAAGGTAATAAAAATAAGAACATACACACTTGGGTAATGGAGACAACAAATTATAGAAGCCTGTAGAATGTCAATCTCTAAGAACAAGTGTGATTAACAATGAAAGCACAGAAGGCAGTAGAGAAGAGGGTTTTCTCAAAAGGTGTAAAATATCTCTGTTGCCTTTCTCAGAATTCTTTTCTCAAAATTGATTGAATGTAAATTGTATTTTCGAATTTTGTAATTGTGTGTATTTGATTTTTCATCAAAATATTTCTATGTTTCATTGATAATTATGAAAAATATTATAAGAGAAAAAAATCTACTAGCCTATGCATCTATCATGAAATTCAAATTATATCAAATGGATGTAAAGAGTGCATTCTTAAATGGATACATCAAAGAGGAGGTGTATGTGTGTCAACCTCCTGGCTTTGAAGATTATCAACATCCAGATCATGTTTATAAATTGAAGAAAGCTCTGTACGGACTCAAACAAACACCTAGGTCATGGTATGAACGTCTAAGCAATTTTTTGGTGAGTCACAACTACAAGAGAGGTAAAATAGATCAAACTTTATTCATAAAAGAGCATAAGAAAAATATTATTATAGCTCAAATTTATGTTGATGATATAATCTTTGGCTCAACTAACAATGATCTTTGTCAAGAGTTTGCCAAGATAATGCAGGGTGAGTTTGAGATGTCGATGATGGGTGAACTAACATTCTTTCTAGGACTACAAATCAAACAGAAAACTGACGGCATCTTCATTTCACAATCAAAGTACTGCAATGAATTAATCAAGAAATTTGAATTAGAACATTCAAAGGAAGCAACTAATCTAATGGCAACATCTTGCTATCTAGATCAAGATGAAAAAGGTAAGGCGGTTGACCAATCAAAATATAGAGGTATGATTGGTTCCCTACTTTATCTTATAGCAAGTCCTGATATTATGTATAGTGTGTGTGTCTGTGCTAGATTTCAGGCTAATCCTAAGGAATCACATTTAGTTGTTATTAAGAGAATTTTTAAATACTTAAGGAACTAGATCATTTGGCCTTTGGTATCCCTCAGGAGCTTCACCTAGCATTATAGGATATTCAGATTCAGATTATGGAGGATGTAAACTAGATAGGAAAAGTACAAGTGATACATGTCATCTACTTGGTTGTTCACTTGTTTCTTAGCATTCTAAGAAACAGGCTTGTGTTGCTCTATCCACAACTGAAGCTGAGTATATAGTTGCAGGTAGTTGTTGTGCCCAAGTTTTGTGGATGAAGCAGAAGTTAGAAGGTTACAACATTTTTCTAGATCATATTCCTTTAAAATGTGATAGTACTAGTGCAATAAATCTTACTAGGAACCCTATCATGCATTCTAGGACTAAGCATATAGAGATCAAACATCATTTTATTAGAGATCATATTCAAAAAGGAGATTGCATAATAGAATACATAGATACCACCCATCAATTAGCTGATATCTTTACCAAACCATTATCTAGAGATAGGTTTTATGAGCTAAGACAAGCCTTGGGTATCCTAGATATTGCCTCCTTAATATGATGTTCTTCTCTATGACACTTTTTAATGCATTATCTTCTCTACCTTGATTTATATACTAATAGGTACAAATTTGTTCTCAGTTTCTATTGCAATATTTTTCATAATTATCAATGAAACAGGAAGATATTTTGATGATATTAATCTGTGTGAAACAGGGGGAGATTTTTTTCTCTTATAATATTTTTCATAATTATCAATGAAACAGGGAGATATTTTGATGATATTAATTTGTGTGAAACAGGGGGATATTTTTTTCTCTTATAATATTTTCTTTATAATTATCAATGAAACAGGAAGATATTTTGATGATATTAATCTGTGTGAAACAGGGGGAGATTTTTTTTCTCTTCTAATATTTTTTATGATTATCAATGAAACAGGGGGAGATTTTTTGATGAATTAAAATCCGGGTGAAATTCTTTCCTATCTCTAAATTAAACAAGGGGAGTTAAGAGAAGTCTTTGCTCATATGAGTGAGGGGGAGTCTTGTTATTAATATATCCAGGGGGAGATTAAGAGACTCTGACATACAAATTTGTATTAATCTTGAGTTGGCTATATAAAGTCAAACATTTTATTTCATTTTAGGTGTTTCCTTGATCATCATAAAAAAGGGGGAGATTGAAAGCAATGAAGGGGAGATTGATGGAAATGTTCCTGCATTCCCAAGAGATGATTTTGATGATGATTCAAGTCAACTACATTCAAGTCAACACCATTCAAGATGAATTTAAGGACAAGCTGAATTTATGACGTAGGTGACAATGTGAAACATTTCCCTATATGCCCAAGATATGTTTTTGATAAAGATGATGATTCAACCAAGCCCAAGATGATTCCTGAAGACTAGATAGAGTCTTAGAATACTGGATATGGAGGTACAAGTTGATGAAGTAATATTATGCATAAGCCTCCAAAGCACAAGTGTGATAAAATTCATAACATGATATTTTTTACTGTCATAATTAATTATGATGCACCAGAAATGAAAAAATAATTTTCTCTATCATAATTAATTATACTGGTAATATAATCAATTATGGCAATTCAAATTTGAAAAATATATTCGTTTTAAAGAATAAATGTTTTTTAATACATCCTGATTTTCTCTATGATATTATTAATGTCCAACGGCCATTTTCTGATGCTATTTTTCTATTTAATTAAGTTTTGATGAAAAATCAAATACACACAATTACAGAATTCGAAAATACAATTTATATTCAATTAGTTTTGAGAAAAGAATTTTGAACAAGGCAACAAAGATATTTTACACATTTTGAGAAAACCCTCTTCTCTACTGCCTTCTGTGCTTTCATTGTTAATCACACTTGTTCTTGGAGATTGACATTCTACAGGCTTCTACAATTTGTTGTCTCCATTACCCAGGTGTGTCTGTTCTTATTTTTATTACCTTCATCCTTTTTGCATTGGTGGAAAAGGAGGTTCTTTTCATCCCTAGTGTGATTCTAAGGAGGGGTTGATCCTTAGTGGGATTCTAAGGAGGTGTTTTTCATCCTTTGATTTGTTCAGAGGAGGTGTTCATCCCTAGTGGGATTCTAGGGAGGTGTTCATCCTTAGTGGGTTTCAAAGGAGGTGATTGTCTTTTTAATTAGTTTACTTTTTACTGGTTCTTCTGCTGAGTTGATTGTAATTTGTAAACTGAATTTGAAAGAT